CACATGCATACATCATATCACATATCACATCACGCATGACATACATACATAGATGACACAGTTGTCGAGGTACATTTACGTTTTACCTGCACACGCCAAATATACCGGCGTCCTCGAAGCCGCCTCCCCCTTTTTGTCTTTCTCCATATCCATCCAGTTTCTCTATTCATGATCATGACTTTGCAATTGCTAGGCCGACCCTTGCTTCATAGCCTCCTCTCTCCTCCCTCATCCTCCTATATTAATTTACCTTATAGTAATAATAATTATAGGACTTAAATTGATTGAGACTTCAAAGTTACCGTTTTCATCCTCCTATATTTATAGGACTTAAATTGATTGCCGTTTTCACTTTTTTGTATTTACTTGCTTTCGTTGCCATATAATATAAACTCAAAAATGCAAAAGAAAGAGAATAAGTTAATTTTGCTACTGTTACGCTGCTGCTACTACTGCAAGAATTTCAGAATTTAATAAGATTATATAATAATGATAAAGAAATGGTTGGTGTTTGCTCTCTCTCTCTCTCCTCTGGACTTGCTTTTGCCGTATGCATCATTCCATTTGCGCAGGAATTTCCATCATTCCTTTCTTCCTCTCTGTTCTTTTCCATCATTATCGTACTGTGCCCTCCCCCCTGCCAATACCATACAGTATTCTGCCCACACAGAACCATACACAAAATTTAAAATTTATTTTAAAGACTCTCTCTCTCTCTCTCTCTCTCTCTCTCTCTCTGTCGGACATGTTTACAACCCCACCTCTGCTAGACTGCTATTACATTTGCTAGCTAGCAACGCCCTAATAATACCCTTTTTGTATTTTCTCTCTCTCTTTTTCATGCGGTCAATTTGATCAATTCAAGACTCATCATCTTTCGTGTCAATAAACCAAAACACTGTCTTCTACGCATGCAACATGCGCTCAATTTGGAGCATCTACACATATACATACACACATATATTACATCAGCAGTGTACATACGTGTACGTATGGGATAATGAAATTAACAAAGTACGTATATATATAGTAGGAGGGAAGGTAGTTGGGTAGATATTTTACATTCTCTTATCCCCAGGGCAGGCCCAGGCTAGGGGGATCTCTTACTTCTTCATTCATTAAAATATACGAGAAAACAAGTGTTGTTTGTCTTTATATTGTTTAGTTTAGATCCATCATGACATATAAATTATAATCAGATGATGATATTTCTCCTTCTAATTAATTAGATCCTAAGGCTAACTTTATAAGCTATTTATTTGATTACTGAAATATCAATCTTATCCTTTGGTTGACCAAAAAGAAGCCATATCCTAGAACCCAGGCCTAAAGCCACCCTAGATTGAGAAAAGAAAACTCGAGTACGGCGGTGGCCAGCTGCCCGACCTCTTGTCAATCCCATTGCCACCCCTACACCCTACCACATGGGATTTGAGCTCCAAAAGTTGTTCATTTCCCCAGTTATCTAAAGAAGATTGAATAAATAAAAGGTTAATCGTTTTATTAGTCCATGGATTTAGACCAAATTTGCATTTGAGTACTTTAATTTTCAAAATCGTTCTCGTGGTACTTTAACTTCACTTTCGTTAGTTTTTTATTCATAGTTTAATCAATTTTGATACAAAAATATCATTTTGCCCTTGTATTTAACAGAAAAGTTAACAAAACTGACGGCATGACCATTTGTCATAATGAAATTGAAGTTAAAGGACTACATGAACGATTTTGGAAATTAAGAGACTCAAATACAAATCGAGTCTAAGTTCAAATACTAATAAAACAATTAACCCAATCAATAAATAAAAAGACACTCCTAATGACAAAGGCGTAAACGTGCAAGGAGAGAGTGTACATACACATGTGTGTATCCGATTCCTAAGAAAATACGGATATTATTAACGGCTACAAAAATCTCTCTGTTTTGTTCTTGTATTGCCAAATAGACAGAGAGGAACCTTTTACAATTACACAAAGTTTAGGGACACTTTTTACAATTTTACAAAAGAAAATTCTTAAGCATATCCCTTCTTTTTTTTTGTTCTTATTATACAGAAATGAAAATTACAAAACAAAACCTTCGGGGCAAGGAAGCCGAAAGATGTCAATGCCCTTCCATTGGAAAATTTGAATAAGTACAAATAAACTTGCAATGTTGCATGATAATATTCATGCTGGTGTCGTGTTTTTGTGGAAGTCAGTTTGATTAGTATTACAAAATTGGGATTTTTATTTGGTCTGGTGACTGGTCAAATTAACTTGCAAGAGCCAGCAGAGACGCCGAGGGTTCTCCGAGTTTTTCAAAAGTCGGCACCGTCTTTGTAAGTTAGGCCGTGGCCATCGTCGCCATGCGTACGGCTGCGTCTCCATAGACAACTCTACACTAGTGCACATCTAGAGATTAGAATGAGAATCGCTGCTGTGATATGATATGTGACTATCTCATTATCTTCTTGGGGTGTCTTAGTCTTGTCCTTTCTCACAATCACAGCCGTATATTCTTGGTTGAAAGCCGTATTCCAAATATTACAAAGCAGGGTGGACGGTCCAGATTTCACTAGAGTATATACCCTTTGTCTCCTTTATATACCCTTTGTCTCCTTGTTTAACTTGTCTCTGCAGGTTTGGGTAGCTGTTTTATTATTCTTTTGCCTTTGAATGTTATGATCTGGTTGACTTTGGAGCTGTTTGAGTTTGACATAAAGGCCTCAATAGTCCAACAGGAAACACAATAGTAAAGAGAGTTCGGCTTTTGACCACTTCTTCAAGACAAGAGAGAGAGAGAGAGAGAGAGTTTTGGCGAATTGGTGGGTACCTCAACCTGCAGACATCTTATTCATACCTAAAGCCATTGGGAAGGAAGGAAGAAAGCAAATAGAATTTAGAATTATGGGTTTCAGTGGGATCGGATTAATTACCACACGTAGCCAAAAATAAAATAAAATCAACCTGTCCGTAAATGTAATGCCTAAACACAGGAAGCATTATTACTATTTCAAATAACTATGGCTCTGTCTGTTCATCCTGTAAGCTGCAGGTAGATTAAAAAAGGTTTAGAGTCCCTTTATTCGTTCTATACGCTTCAAATTCAGAAATAGTTGTACTTACAATTTTAACCTAAGGTGTATTCTCACTACCCTTCTTATAATTTGACACGTGTCATGATTATATATATGAATACGTGTCAAGTATTAAGAATTGTGGTGATGATACACATTGGGTTAAAGTAGTGAGCAAAAATGCTATCTTCAAACTCGCCAACCATAATCCCTAAAATGCGTTATCATTCAATTAACCAATAAATGAACTGAAAATGGAATTTAAACCTTGGTTGAATTTAAAATGACTGCCATGTGCCATGCTGACTATCTCTTTTTGGTTTTTGTTGGGGTTGTTGGTTTTTTAGCTGAAAGAAGAAGAGGAAAAAGATGCTAGCTCGTTAAATGCTGCCAACCCATTTCAAAAGAGGGGACCAAGCAAGCAGCATCAGATTGAATAAAATCCTTTCATTTACTTGAGTTCAATCATGCGATTCCAACGCCTATGCCAGATTGAATCATAAAAATGGTTGGTCTCGGTCCTTTCTTTCTCACATAAAACACTACTAGACTAGACTACTAGGCTTAGGGTAAAAGAAAGAAGAAGGTGGTCCAATAAATGCTGGCGTACCTACAAATTACAATAACAACACTGTCTCAGATCGTCAGCTCTATACAATTGTAACATCACAAAGGAAAAATCTACTCATTTTTGTTGTAATTTTTAACCACCTTATTATTTTGAGTTCAATCAAATGTATTCTTAACGCGGTAAGTTTTTTGTTTCACCGTCGCTTGTGCGAGACATGCAAACAACAATTGTGTTCTTTATCCTATTGCGTATATGAATGATATATGTTCTTACAAAACAAACAAACAACATACAGAAAGGGTGAAAACGTCATTTTGGTATGTAAATACTTTTCTTTGGTTAAATTACAATACACGTGATCTAAATTAATATTTGACTTCAACTTCTTTCAATCAACTTTTATTTTATTTTACGTGTGAAATTAAAAAAATGTAAAGGGGGCGCCCTGCAGTGGCGAGCAAGGTTGAGTGCCCCAAACCAAGACTGAGAAATAATATTATTTTTGACGAGAGAGGACAAATGAATAATGTAATTTCATGGTGAGGGCGCTTTCTGATATCATAACGACGTTGGCGTATATTATCAGAAGCAGAATTGAATTTATGAGAGAGAAAGAGAGAGAGAAAGGTCAAAGCTTGGGAAGCAGTTGGTTGGTTGTAGATGTAGTATGCTGCTGCTGCCATAGGGGTAATGATTTAGAGAGAAGGTTAAAAAAAGATCAGAATTTCAGAAGCTCGTGAAGATACGTTTGAGAGAGAGAGAGAGGGAGAGAGAATTTTCTGTATTCTTTTGTTTTATATTAAAAATTCTATAAATTAATTAATTAATATTGGGTTGACACACTGCAAGGAAGGAAGGTGTGCAAACAAAGAAATAAACAGAAGGTGCAGGAGGAGGGAGAAGAGTACCCCACTCGTACAGGGAGCAGGGAGCAGGGAGCAGGGGCAGCTAGTAAAAATAGTAGCAATAGCAAAGAGGTATTATCAGACTCTTTAAGGAATTTACAGACCTTCTCAGCTCGTCTTATCCTTTTCTCGTGATCTCTCTCTCTCATACTGGCCTTAAATTCCTCCTCTTTCTTTGAAATCCCTGCTGTGCCTACAAACCGACACACTTCCAAAGGGTTTGAAACTTTCAACTTTAGAGGAAGAAGAAAAAGGATATATGTTTTCTACAAGTAGAACAATACCAAATCCAAGTCTTGGGGGTCTGAAGGTTGTTGCAAGAGTTTTTTATCAGGGGATTTAGACCCAGTGGCTCTGACAGTTTGTTAACAGCAACAAGTAATTAAGGAGAGAACTAGGTTTGGAGGATCCCTATTTGGATTAAGAGGGGGTTTTGAAAGGAAAAACAAATTTTGTTAAGGAGGAAAAATGACTAGTTGTAGTGCAAGGAACGGTGCTGTGAGGCAGTATGTAAGATCAAAGGTGCCTCGTCTGAGATGGACCCCTGAGCTTCATCACTGCTTTCTTCATGCCATTGAGAGGCTCGGAGGCCATAAAAGTGAGTAATATCATAACCATCTTGTCTTAACTTTTGTTTCTTCGTCCTGTTTTGAAAATAGAAATGAAACGTTTCTTTTATGTTTCTTCTATCTCTCTCTCTCTCTCTCTCTCTCTCTCTCTCTCTCTCTCTCTCTCTCTCTCCCAGAGGCTACACCAAAACTTGTTCTTCAGTTGATGGATGTCAAAGGGCTCACCATTTCTCATGTCAAAAGCCATCTCCAGGTATTGTATTTGCCTTTCTCTCTCTCCTGATGGTTTGTCTAGTCTTTTAACTGCTTCTGTTCTTGTAAGCTATACGTTAAAATGTTCATTTTCTTTCACACTTTTCTTTATCTGTTTGCCTTCTCCTTCTTTTGATCAGATGTACAGAAGCATGAGGAGCGACCTGGGTACTAGACAACAAGGTATTTATCCTACTTCTTCACAGCCCTTTATTAAATTTGTTTTATTTTGGCTGATTTCTTGTAAAAGCCTTCATCTTTTTACATTTTCATGTTTGTATTTTATCCTCTACTACTCCTCTCCTGTCGTCTAATATGCAGTTCTGGTAGACTATCCATTTGTTTCCTCTAATGGCCTGTTCTCAGGGCCAGTATAAACACCCGTGAAAGTATAAATTTATGAAATGAGACTCTACGGATGCAGCATCACCTCATTTAATATGTGTAAATCCTTATAATATTTATTGCTTAGTTGATGCCCCAAATGGGTGATAGAGAAAGTGCACCATTATTCCTTCCGGTCTTCTCGTATTGGCACTTGTCATGAAAGTGAAAATACAAACACCTCTCCCAGTCCCAAAACTTCTACCATTAAAATGTCTCAATGTATCCACACTTGTGGCTTATTTATTTTTTGTTTGCTTATTTTTGCCTTTTTACTGCTTTTTTTTTTTTTTTTTTTTTTTTTTTTTTTACTTCTATTTCTGGCATTTTGTCTGATGATTTTTCTGGTGCTCTAGTGACAGATAGGAGTTGCACGCAACCAAGAAAACAATCGTTTGAAGAGCATGATGATGGGTGTCTTGATGAAGTAAATGGTGTGAGTTTTTACCCATCTTCCAAATCTATCAGAGAATCAGATTCTCAGCTCATCTACAGTACTCCCCGCCGTTCAAAAAGGTTAGCCTGCACCTACATACATGTACTCTGCAGGCACTCTTTCTTTTTCTTTGTTTGTTTTGTTTTTGGGGGAAGGGGTGGTGGGTGAAGGTGCTCAGATGTTTCAGGCTTCTGATCAAATGTCAACAAAGTAAGTAATAAAGATGGCGAGATCAGAAACAAACAAACAGGAATGGCATTGCATTGCATGATATCTTTGCTTTTTCTGAACTCTGCTTTCTTGTTCTAGATATATATATATATAATATAGGGTTCTTTTGTTTTATAATATATATATATATTCTGCTTTTTGTCTGATTTGTCTCCTTCGGTGGATCAGAGCTAGAGCCGAGACGAGGAGTTCAATCTCAGAGGGTCTGCAGCAGCAATGCAGCCAAGGAATATATGAGACGGTCTCAAATCCGTACTCTTTTGATGATAATGTGCTGGCAATGGCTCAACAACAGCATGGGGGAATAAAGGAGCCTAACCCCTCAGCCTTGTCTCTGCCACAACCTCATCTTCATTACAACTTCAACCACCCCTCCTCCTCCCAATTTTCTCTGCAAGAATCTGACTTCTTCAAGGTACCTAACACTTCTCTCTCTCTCTCTCTCTCTCTCTCTCTCTCTCCAACTTCTTTAAAAAATTTAAATGTAGAGTTGTTGAGTGTAAAGTTGGTTTTTGCTTTTCAAGTTTCAACCAAATTTTCTTTGCACGAATCCAGACATGTCCTTCTGAGTATGACCAGCGATGGCATGGATGGAATGTCCATAACCTTTTCTTTTGAAGTCAACCTGCGTCACCTCTATTGCCTAAACAGTAGTTCACTACTTTTGCGTAGTGTTAATAATATATTTTCTGTATTATTTTAAATGGGTGAAACCTCTTCTTTATAATATCCTTCCTTGTTTCTCCTTTTTTTTTTCTCCTCCTGGGTCCTGGCCTTTAGACAAGAGTGTGGAAAAGTTTCCAAAACTTGCTATATAATTCTTCAATCATATAATGTCACATTGTTTCCTCTCCCGCCCTTTGGTTCTTCCCTTCACAATTTTATTAATTAAAGTTCAAATTCATTTTTTAATGACCCGATTTTTTGTTTTCTTCACCCCATAATATGATTTCTCTGCAAAAAGTAGTTGGGTGCATCATTTCATTTTGAAACAGGAGACAGACTGCTTTTGGCTTGCAAGTAATCGTCTACTATATTTAATTTCAAGGTCTACCTAGCTACTGTTGATTTGTCGTTTACATGAGTTGCATTGTATTTTCTATTTTGTATAGAAAAATTGCTGCACAGAGGTCTTTGGTTGTTGCTGAAAACTCTTACATTCTGTGGTCCAATTCTGATTCGTATATAAGTAGGGGACCCCTCCCCCTCTCTCCCTCCAGACCACCTTATGAAGTGTGCCCAAACAGCAAATTCAATCAAAATGTTAAATTTTTATTTTTATTTTTTTGGGGTTGTGACAGGTTACCAAACCAGAGGCAAGAGCAGATGCTGATCAAGGCAATGAACACGGTGATTGTCAACTAGCACTGTCTCTCTCATTACATCATCCTTCTTCCCACAAGAGTAAGAGTAATGCTTCTTCAAGTGAGTTCAGTGGTGCCATCTCATCATACTCCCCGAGGTCCAACTATAAAGATTGCTCCACTTCTTCTGGGAAACATCGCAGTATTAATTTAAATCTTTCCATTGCCCTCTGTGGTAAATGATGTCACTGTAAAAAGGAGTCATCTGTTTTGGCCAAGTAGTAGATTATTTCATGCCCTCACCGCATTTGTTGGTTCTTTCTGTTCTTTGTTCTTTGTTAATTTTATCTCTACTTCTTCTCATCGAGCTACTCAGCTCATTAGTTAAGTGAGTTCCACTTTTGATTCTTCTAGAACAGCAAAGAGTATATCTTTATGAAAGAACTCTTTTAGTTTCAAATTTCTTACAAGATTATCCTTCTTCACGGAAATCTGATGCAACCTCTATGACATAATAAGACAGCGGCATTTGGGACCTTCATCAAACCAGAGTTCAGCCAATCTATGTACGACAGAAAAGCCCTAGAGTTTCAAACCTTAATTATGTATCTAATTGGTCAAAGAATTCTATTGTGAGCGTGAAGCCCACGCCCATTTGTACGGAGGTAATTGTGGGTTGGATTTGTAGTGCATTATGGACCGGCTCAACAAGCTCCGATACGAACCCACTTTTGGTCGTCGCAATGTTGTGGAAATCTTCTCTGAAATCTCAAATCTAATCATGACAATTTCATTGCAAATTTTAGGAGCGATATATTGGTTCATTGCATTTGCCCGTTTCTTGAGCGCAGAAGTAAAACACTACAGAAAAAAAGAAAAGAAAAACCAACTACAAAACTGGATAGCTGTTGCTGCTCTTGGCGTCCAATCAGTTGGAGCAAATTTTATAGCACATCTAACACCAGCGACAAAGTCGGTCGATACACTCTTCCTTTTCTTGATCTTCCAACGTCTTCCCCCAAAATAAGGTCATGGCGGATGTTATAAGACGCTTTAATCCTTCTTAATTCTTTTTGCCCTTTGTTTTGGTATCAGAAACCAGTGCCTTGATGCATAGTCGTGGCTTCACGCTTACGACGTTTTGAGGAAGAACTGAAACAGCAACCACTAAGGAATCTTTGGGTACACCAGAGAGGGGTAGTAGCTCAATTAGGACAGCAAGCTGTAAATTTACTCTAATAGTTAGAACAACCATAAAATGACATGCCAAACTAATAATTTGCTTTTATGAATTTGAGACAAAGAGGAAGGAATTCTCACCTCTGGAGATTTGAGGTCCACCACGGAATCTGATACAACACCTGTGACTGCAGAAGCCACTATTTCAAAGCATTTGTCACGGTCCAACAAAACAACCGCATTTGAAGCTTCTTTGGAAGTATTCAGTTCTGTTTCTACCCCTCTTCTGTTATACCCAACTGCAAACTACAGAATCACGTAAAAATTTCATCTTACGGAAAATAAAATAACCCGCATAGAATAATTAAATCCAATTTCTAGGTTGCCCAAAAGAACAGTATCTCATTTGATGAATTACTAACGTTGATGCAGTGATAGAGGATATAACAACCTTTATGGGCCGTGCAAGTTTCTGATTATTGTTCAAAAATTGAAGAACAAGCTTTGATACAACTTCATGCAGTTCCTCCTCATTCAAACTACAAGTAGCTTGGATAGGGAAAATACGATGACACCAACTGCACCAAAGAACTTCCAATTCTTAGGCAAGCACCAATTTCTGGCCAGAAAGGGAAAAAATGATCACATGTATTACTGGATCCTTCATAGGAGGATGTCAAAAAATTTAAATTTCATAAATGAATACTGAGTGCAAAACCATTGAAGAGCTGAGGCACAACCTCAAAGTGGGTCATAGGTCAAAAAAGTCTCGAAGTAAAAACAAATAAAAAAATTATAATGTCAACATTTCAAATGACAGAGAAATACTGGGTAAGTTTAGTTTCTTTTAGTAGGTAAAGCATGGCATAGAAAATACAACATATACGAAGCTTAATACTTGGCAACAACCAGTGAAAACATCTAAGATTCCATTATTTGGAGAAATTATTTCGAAAAAAGACATAGATAAAAGTTTCAAACAAATTAAGCACAACTTGTATTAACTGTTGTTTCTAAGAGAAAATATGATACGTGAGAAACAGGCAAATTATCTACTCACAGGGGTGAACCACAACTCCCAGATTCCACAGAATGCATAATTTTGGATACAGTATCAACAACGTCAGGAGAAGTGTTTTTGGGGAAGGTAAAGAGAAGCAAACCACTCTTTGTAAGCTTAACCAGCGAAAGAAGAGGGCTTGTGTCTCCTTCCGCATCCACCTTCGCAGGAGGCAGAGGAGGACCCTCTTGAACATCATCTGCCATAGCCATTATGATTACAAACAAGTCATATCACAAAACAGAAGCTCAGCATCTAATTGTATACGAAGTAAAAGTAAAAGCGATACCATGCGCGTCCCCAGAGTTAGCAGTAGCCTCCTCGCCATCTGTATTCTCTTTGGAAAGCTTCCTTCTTTTAGAAACGGCTTCTTCTTCTGAACTGCATCTATTAAAGCACTGAACATACTGAAAACATAGACATAGAAACAAATTGTAAACTTAATTCAAATCCACATATAAAGAAAATAATCAATCATGTATTATACTATACATCATCACTTCAAGGCTTAGTGCGAGTTTACCTTTGCAAGGAGGGAGATTGCTTCTTTTGTGGCGCTCTTTTCCCTCTCTGATAAATTGATTATAGCAGAAATAAAAAAGAAACTTCATTTCAGAATCAGTGGGTTTGTGGGGTTAAATTAGGGAGATAGAAATTAGAAAGAGAAAGAGAAAGAGAGTGACAGACTAATGGGGCAGGTGATGAGGAAGCCAGAGTGGGAGTGTTGGAGAAGAGAAGAAGGGGCGTTGTAGTCGAAGCGAGGGATGCTGATTACTGTAGAGTGTTGCTCCCATGGTGCCATCTCCTCTTTCTTACTCAGCTCCCTCTCCTTCTCCTTCTCTCTTTCTTCTTCCGCCATTGCCCTTCCTCTGTTCTGACTTCGGAGCCGATACCAAGTCTCTGTTCGAACTGACTTCAACTTTTTATTTTCTCCAGTGTATGTGTGCCCTAATTCCTAATAATTGGACTCTTTTTTATGTTATTGTTACAAAATTTGTTTATTATTTTTCTAACCAATTTCTTTCATGTCTATTAATATTCAGATTTTTTTTTCTTCATTTCTATAAAATGCAAAGATTGTATCAACATACTGAGAGAATTATTTTAAACTAATTTTTTGCATTTCTTTTTTCTTATTTTCCTTTTTTTTTTTCTTCGCTTTTTTGGAAGAAAAGACGTAACATCTGACTGCTTGTGGAATGTAAAAAACATCTGTGAGACTTTGCATATATATTTTTTGTAATTCAAATGGCAGCTCAATCTGCAAGGTATGGTACAAACAGAAACAGATAGTAACAGGACAAATTTGAAAGGTTGGGCTAAATGCTAATTGAATCCATTAAATCACTGATATTAAGTTAAGCGAGCATAGTGATATTAAAACCTCACACACTGTAACGCTCTTCTGTTAGCTAAACGGCGTGCCACGTTATGTTATCCTGTGAGTCTCTGACTGAGATTGCTAAACAAAATGGTTGATGTAAAATTGCATTGCACCAGCATTAGCAACAGACTTGATCTTCTATAATTTATCAATTCACTATTTTCCCGCTTTTAAGTTTGAGGGGATGGATCTATGAGTACAAGTGAAAGAGGCTTATACAACAATTTAAACACACGGGATGTGTAGGATTTACTTCTATTTTAACATTTACAATTGGATATAAACTAAAACAAATCCTCACACCAAATCTTGGCTCCGTTTTTGTCTGCATTCTGCACTCATAAATTATGTGATGGGCAAAGGGTGCATTTGCATAGCAAGAAGCTGACCTTTTTTCCTCTTTTCGATGAAAAGCTTTTGAAAGCCCTCAAATAGCCCTTTTCTTTTACACCCGGTCAATTTGCATCTCTTCTTCGAATTCCACGATTGCCCTAGCAGGAAGGTACCAAAACTTGTAACAAACACAAGAAGCTAAATAATCACATCTTCATTTGAATTTGCCGATGGATATGTATTAGAAACTCAATATAAGAGAGGCCATTCAAACTCTTGTCCTCTACGATATATGAGAAGAAGAGCATCCCTGCGAAACAAGAACAGAAGATTTAATTCACATCAACCAAAAACATTTATCTAATACCATAATATTTTACATCAGAATTATTGTTTTATCATATCCCCTCTGACAACAGTGACTGAAAAAATTGAAGCACAACATCTCTGCTTCTCATACTACAGTAAATAAGGGAAAACAATGCGGCTAGCACAAAGAATGATTGACGGTGTGCAACAATTAGGCCAAAAATACTGTAAGTTATACTTGACCTGTTTGTTCATAGCTTACATCAAAGTTTCATAGTATTTACTATCGCAGAATAAAAGAGGGATTTGGGCAAGGGGTGATACATACAAAGGAAAAAGGGGAAATGGTCACATTAACATGAACAAATAAAAAGGAATAAAGTTTATCAAAGGGGAATTGAATAATGTGGATACTGTTTTGAATCAAAATTTTATGCATAGTGGCTGTCAAATAGCAGATGTAGACTAGTTTATATTAAAGGGATGTTCTAAGTTGTAATGCACTGACCTGATGGATCTCCTTTCTTGCATAATTTCAAGCTGTAAGAAAATAATGAGGATTATATTAGACTTACATCAGATTGACACATCATCGAATTACAAACATTTTTTTTACCATGAGAAACTTTTTTCTTTTGTTAGGCATATAGAGCAGAAGGTTGCCCTGGCTAGAACAAGGGTCATCCCAGCAAAAATGAGCATGATTACCACCTGGGTGGTCCAAGGGGTCTAAAGAAGCACCAACTAGCTCTTATTCTGGTGGTACTTCTCTTCCCAGTGTTAGAAGAGATACCAAGTTCGAATCTCCCCTTCCCCATTAAAAAGAGAAAAACAGGGTCTAAAGAAGCCAAAATACAAGGTAACAGAAAGAAGCATACCGGAGGTATGAACATCTTTGGCGTCGAATCTCATTTATCAAGTCATTTAGCTTCTTTGAGAATGGATTGTCATGCTGCTGCAGCACAAACTGTGTATGACAAAAAAAATAGCCATCAGATGAAATTTTTTCCATCAGGAAGTATATCTGAGAATGCAGTTTGCAATTATACAACTCAGTCCTCATGTTTAACAGGCATCACAACCAATGAATGAAATATTTACACCCGGAGGAGTATCCATTCTTAATTACTGGGCCAACTAATTTTATGCCTTTAATTTGTTTCTTATAATATACAACTTAATCCTGTCTTCAAGATTTTAAGCAGATTCCTAATTTGTCAAATTGATAGCAGATGCTAGACGGAATTACATCAGAGGAATGAAGTTTGGGTCGTCAATGAGGTGCTCAACTCCTTGGATCCAAGAGTCAGAGGCAAGTTCTTGCCAGCCATGACTAGCAATATTGGGCAGACATTACGTATAGAATGACTTGGCTTAAGATGTACCTGAGTAGGAATTTCATCAACTGAGGAAATTCCAAACAGCTCAGTCAACATATCTGGATCAACTGAGTTCCCAATATATATTAAACAATCCTCTCCGTTCTCAAGAAGATAAATTCCCTCATCACTGATATGCTCACTAGAAAGTGGAATTGCAGGAGGAAAAGGAGATTCATCTGTCTGTCAATCAACAAAAAAGTTACCAGTTTTTTTGGGGGGGGGGGAGGGGGGGGGGGGGGGGGGGGGGGGGGGGGGGGTGCGGGGGGGGGAGAGACCATAACAAAGGGGAAAATATGAAACTTTAAGTAATGCGGAACCATTCAGAATTTCAGACCTTAGAAAGAAGGTCATGGATTGCCACCATCCGTGGATACACAAGTGCTATTGCTAAAGGAGTAGAAACAGAAGAAACATAATTGATCCAAAAAGACCGTTCATCTAATTTCCCGGCAGCTCGCAATCCTGTGCTTTTAGTTAATGCTGAAAAGAATTATATATTAAAAAAAGAAACACAGTTATCAAAACATGTACAAACTTCTAGAGAAGCTGACTTATACTTCAATTACTGCTAACATGATTAATACAAGAGTCTTGCATAGCATAGTCCATGCATTCGAAATAACAAGATACGTTATAAAACATGAAGGAAATAAATGAAAATCCTGAGTTTATTTCATTTTGGAGGAAGAAAAAAAACCAGTTAGCTTCACAGAAGTGTTAAATAAAAGATGCAGCTTCAACAAAATACATCTAGTATGGTTGTATAGAAGACACCAAGGAAGAATAAAAGAAAATACCAAGGATGTATAAAGGTAGAAGCTTAAGTGTCTCTGGAAGAACAAGTTGTCCAGACGATGATACTGTAGCACAAAATTTCCTATAAGAACACAGAATCCTGATGCAACAATCAGTCAGTCGTTCACGGACTTGCATGAGTGGGCAAGAAGGGATTTCAATTGCCGCTACATAAAGAAAATTACAAAGTAAATTGTATCATTTCCCAGAAATCAAATAATAGCTATACGGCCATGTAAGAGTTTAAAAAGAGGGCAGTTCTGGTACAAGTCAGTTCAAAAAGAAAGAGAGAGATCCATGGTACAAAGGCTGTAAAAACAAGATTGTAAAGAAAATGGTACCAGCAAATACCTTGCTTCAAGATACAAGCAAACTGCGTATCTAAGTCAGCTGTACGGAAAATATTATTCAGCATACTCGTGCATGGAAGAGATAATGTTGTAACTCGAATTCTTCTTTGGCCATACAAAGTGGTGTACAGAAGTGCACACTGGACAATGGAAAGAACAATGTCATTAGAAGTAACATAACAATCATTTTCTTTAACATTAACTGTGATTATGGGAAGCTTGCAGAGATATACGGACAAGATACTCCTAGAAGGTAAAACCAGTTAGTACCTGAAATGCACATTCTGAGCCATCCTGCAATTTATCATCGTGTTTTATGGTTACCATTATAGTTTTGTCACAGTCAATCTGCACAATATAAGGATGAGTTAGGGTTTCGCAAATTACTGGCCTCAGGTATTAGCCACAGCTCGTATTCATTACAAAGCTGACAACATAATCTAAAGTACCACTCAAATAAATGAATGAAAACCAAAAACAAACCAGTAATCAAGATGGACTAGTTATGGCAAATATAGAAGAATAAAGTAATTAATTTCATCTCATTGGTTTGTAATACACGAGGTTTTGGGCGTCATTACTAGTCACTACTACTTTTTTTTTCTTTTTTTTTTGGGTATGAGGTAATGTGTGCCACAGCCATAGTAATTTTGAGTTCAATGATAATACATGCAATGCTAATGACACTTACATTATCTTTAAATTAATTCAATCAACATTTTAATGCTAGTATGGGTGGGTCAACACAATGGATTTCTCATTCCATATCCATGGTGGAGAAGAAAGATTCAAAGATGTAGCACATGCGTATATTGATGTATTAATGTATATAAGTACGTGCATTTGTGTTGTATAACATACCCCAGGTAGGTCAACGTCAGTAGGAATGCGTTTGCAGAAGTTCCCATGGTACTCCTGAACTCGGAGACCCTATAGTAGATTAGGAAGAAAAGTTTACTTAACAGTACAGAGAAAATTATAAGTAACTATTTGCTATACGCTAAAGGCAAGGATGAGGAAGTGAACATCAGTGCTCCAAAAAGGTTACCTGGCTGCATCTCACACGCATCACTGCCTCAAAACCTTGAGGCCTTGTGACATTCCATCTAAGGTCATTGTAGATCTTTGCAGAGTCGGCAACAGCTGAGAAAGGGTAATAATAATAGACCTGGAACAAAGAGGAAAAGAAACAAAGTTGAAACCTGACATTCTATAATAATAAAAATACAATTTTATAAATAAACCCAATCCTAGACATTTATTTATAAAAAAACCCAAGCACTATTTAAACATAGAAACACACCCAAAATCAACCTCAAAATCAACAATTGTATATTTTTTGGGTGTGTTTATAAATGGGTTTTGAATGTGTGTAATGATGGGTTTTGGGTGTGTTTATAAAGTGTTTTGGGTATTGGGTTTTTTTATAATTTCAGCCCCCATTTTGGGTGTTTTAGTGAAACTCCCTAATAAAAATAGACCTGGAACAAGAATGTAAAATCAAATCAATATATTCTATACTGTAATGCAAGAATAGACGTTTTTGGTACCTGGCCACCAGTAATTCTTGGGATGACAGACATAGAAGCTATGTCCATGTAAGTCTGGGTAGTGATAAAAATATCAACACAGACCTGTAACATGTCAAAACAGAGACAATTAGCCCAAATAAATTATGCCCATCAGCATCTATATCTACGAATGCCAACCAATAACCATGAACAAAATTCAGAATTATATCCAACTCAAATAAAATGCAAACAGAACACTTAACATTTTACCTGAAACTCAGCAACTTCCACTGCCATTGTTTTTAAAATCTTTTCAGCTGGTTGAAGTAATTTATGGACCTCCTGGTGAAAAAGAAACGTTCATAAACATGAGGATAATCTTCTGCCGGAACAAATGGCACTACCACTAGACTAATGTCAACATGGAAGACAGCAGGTAAAGGAACAATATAAAATCTTGGTGCCTGTAAAGATCTCACATTCTTACACTTCCAATGGGAGTGCCCAAAAGGCAAGCACTCTCATTGGAAAGTACATAAATATCAAAAGGGAGTGTTTAGAAGGCATGCACTGCACAAGAACACTAGCTTAAAAAAACTTTCCATACATTCTGCTCTTTATAAAATGCAAAACATTGTAGTGCAAAGATCTAAAGGATCCATATTTCATACATACTATCAATTAATAATTAAAAATTGATATCCTGGACACGCATTATGGCATCTAGCAAATGTGTCGGCAATTCGAGAATACTAAAACAATATAGTTTTCAAGAATGCAGGATTTCATAGGTAAAGCAAAGGGATGGAAGAACATGCAGTTGAAGAAAACCAGTATATCATCTATTGATACCTTCTCACCCGCAGAAGTATTAGTTCTTCCTTCAGCCTCTCTGGCTGAAAGGGCCCCAGTTCCAATTGATGGCAAGACTGTAGACCACATTGGATAATTATTAGAATATACTCAAAGGTTGGTTTTATAAAAGATTGAATTCCTATAATTCAAAAGGGAAATAAAAAGATCCCTTACAAAAATGATCAAGATAAATACAGGATTGCTGTAACAAGTATTTGGATGACTTAAACTAGGTCCATAAAACTAAAATCACATCTGTTTGAACTTGCCTGACTGAAATACCAAAAGTTTTCCACCGTTACTTTTCATTGCTAAGAATGCAGCCTAAAAAGTATAAAGAAGATGTTAACAACATTAGAAAAGGCATTCTATAATTTCTTAGACATTAATTAATGTGATTATAAAATGTGCATAAGCCAATGATTTAAAAATATAAAATGAAAACCAGAAAGCCCTATGTAACAAGAACCAATTTTACAATCTTTTTTACTCTCTCTCCCACCATCTTTAACACGCACCCAGACCAAATATGAGAATAAATACCATACCTTGACTGCGGCACCAAAGGCTGAGTCAGCTGTTTTATTATCTTGAAACATGGATGGGATGCTTTCCAAAAGTAGGTCTAAATGTTGACGGCACTGGATCAATGTCAGAAACAACCGACGACTTAATAAAAAAAATCATTTGACTTATCTGGGGTGGCAAAGATATTGCCTTACACATATCAACAGTTGTACTAGAAAACACAACAAAACTGAACTCTGAAGCTAACCTCAGAAAGCTGAACAATTACATCAGTCTGCAGAGGAGTATAAACATCTTGCACATCAGGGACAATAAGCATCAATGGCTGCAAAACATATCAAAAATAAACAAGTAAGCAATCTTCAATTACAACATAGGGTAACCACCTATTTGGATAAGATAATGAAGCAAATGTTACATTATATTGCATTGTAGAAGAGAGAATGAGTGACAAAGTTGATTGTGAAACACAACAAGAATGGTATTATGTAAGTACACATTTTCCTTTCCCTTTCACAAATTGACAGGACATTAATGCTAAATAAATTCACATGAACATTACTATGTAAGCAAATGTTAAATACTCAGAAATACAAAACAATTCAGCTCTACAACAAAATTTTAAATCTAACAAAGTTATATATTGACCTGCTGTAATGAACGTTTCAGATTGTAAAAATGAATTGTAGTGTCAAATGTTGCAATCCCCACCATCGTCCTAGGTCCTTCCTGAAATAGTAGAATCATCAATATATCAGTTGCTAAAGAAGCTAACCCAATACGAAGGTTCTTGTAGAAACTTAAAAAGGTTGACATGCTCCAAAACCAAGGTGAAAAGTACGTTTCTAATTTTCCATAAGCAGGTGCAATTAAAAGCTTCAGCATTCTGCAAATAGGCATAAAACTTACAGGAAGATCAGAAATAACTTGACGGATTGCACTGCATGCCGCTGCAGTTGCTCCAGTTTGCATAGCATTCATAGATACATCAATAAGGAAGAAATACACAGCCAGCATTGGATCACGCACCTGGAACACGATAATTTTGTTTGAAAAGGAAGATATTGCAGCTAGTCTAATCGAAAAATAAAAGGAGAAACAAATTGAAGGCAGCCATTCCCATGACTAAAGCAAACAGTAGGTCATAAAGGATGCATTCTCAAGGGGGCATGATGCATTTTCTTATGGACATTTGGAAACTATAAAGGCAGACTCTTAGTTAAAACTTAAATCCTCAGTTAAAATTTAAATCCTCTATTGTAAGTGTCCAAAGCAATATACTGTACATTGGCTGGGAGTCTGAAACTGTCCTTAATCTCAAATCATAATCTAGCAAAATAAATGTGGAAACCAAACATGAATCTGCATAAAGCTGGCAAATCTCATGAAACAACTAACCATGTATTCTTTGGAAGCAACAAATTCAACCATTCCTCTACAAAGCTCAGGCCTATCGTCAGCATCTCTACACCTACCATCTGGACCAAGATTGCAGTGGTAGTCACGGGGAGTCTCATCAGTGAATCCTGCAAATTAAACTAGCACATGTCATAAAATCACCACCCAATCCACTGTTGACCATGTTTGTGATGCAATAAACAGTCAAGTCCAGATGCCAATGAATAAAAAGACACATGAGCATTCTGGATACCAGTAACTTGTAGCAACTCTCATGACTTCATGAGAGAATGCATATATTCTTAAAAACTGATTACTAAGATCTTGGTGCATATAACAATGTAAATTGTAATTTTATAAAACAATTGTAATAAAATTTTACAGAGTAACAACAAGGACAGTCGTCCTAAATTGAAGAATAAACAAGTGCCAACAAGAAATCTTGTCAAAAGATGAAACCTACATGTAAACTTTGGGAGAAGGGAAAAGTGAAGATGATACACAAACCTGACAGTATATTCCACATAAGATGATGTAAAAGAAAGCAAACACATAGAGTTGCAAAGAAAGATAGAAATAGATAACAAAAAAATACAATGATAAGTTGTACTAACCACACAAGTTACATATGAACTGCCTTCCCTGATCAATGAACTTCATGAAAGGATTTATGTAGCCTTTGCACCGAGAACAACGAAGAGGACCACTTTCACCAAAATCCACGACCTATATCAAGAAAAGTTTATCCAACAACACCAAGACAGATGACATTTACACAGAAATCACAAAAACTAGCAAAGAGAGGGGACAATTCCAAACTTTGTGTGAACCGCCAAATATGAATTTTGACTCATAGACCAACGGATAAGTAAGCTGTTAAGTTTACCATGACAAGCATATAGACAAAATAGACTAAAGGGTATTGATGCATTACTGGTATTGGCTCTTCAGACGGTTGAGGAAGGGCCAAGGGTTGGAGCAACAAAGCCAACTGCATCCCTGATGTCGCCAAAAGGTCAGCATTGCATGGAATCTGTTGAAATAGAAAGGAAATATGTATAAAATTAAAAAAAATTAAAAAAAGCTGAGAATAATTGATTTTGCTCACAGGATCCAAAGGATAACAATTATGAATATAAAAGATAAAATGCTTGTTTGTAATTGATTGTGACCTGATTGATGGTGCACCTCATATTACGTGGACTGCAGTTCCCAGTGTCTCTGACAATGTAATCACTTGTGGAAGGCTTGAGAAAAGTTACATTTAGTAAGAGGTAAAAGATCACTAGACACTATAGCAGCATGCATGTACAGAATGATTGCTGAAGATAAATTATAGGAAGAAAAAGAAAATGAAGGGCAATAAGATTTAACTAAATAAATACCGGAGGAGGGTTGGCCTGATTGCACTGGCGAGTTTCATGCACAATCACTGAGGAATTTGGAATGGGTCGTGGTATTTGATTCGGATCAATCTTCGAGGGTCCTGCCACTGGGGCTCCAGTTTGGCCCACAGCATGTGATATGGAAGTCATAGATCGATTTGGCAATGGTGGTGGCGTTCCAAACATTCTTTGTTGTTGCAGGGAAGTTGGTGCAAGTTGAGGCGCCTAAAACAATTCAAAATATTTTTCAGTCAGAATATTGAGTTAAAAAAACAAGAAATGCATAAAATGTATGATAAGCTAGAATTGTAGTTCATAAATAATGCATTTAACCTGTTATACTTTTATGGTGAATGAAATTTGACTGGATCATGAATAGCTTACTTGGTTCGGTTGCATGGACCAAGTTTGTGGAGGACGAGGTTGTTGTAGACCTTGGGATGCTACTGAAAATGGTGGTGGCTGTTGCACTGCAGGACCTGGGGAGACTCTCCCCACTGAACTGCCCAATACGGAATGCATGGTTTGCGGAGGCTGAGGCTGAGCAGGAGGAGGCGGTGGAGCAAGAGCTGCCACCATTGTTGTTGAAGGTCCACTACCAGGTAGAGGGAAACGGGGCAAAACACCTGGGGGCGGTGCCGGCGGGAAAGCATTGGTAGGAGGAGGTGGTCTGTAACCAAGTGGTGAAGTAGCAGGCGGCCCTGAAGGCCTTGGTGGACCCACATAGGGTGGAAATGAGGACTGTGAGGAGGGTCCCACTGGAGGAGGCCCCGACAAAGGTCTTCGCTGCGCAGGCCGAGCCAATGGACTCGGAGACGGTGCTGATGGAGGAGGAGGGGAAGGTCTAGGGGCCGAGGTGGGAATCGAAGGCGGTCGATTGAGATTCAAATTTTGCAAATTCTGCAACAAAGAATCGGAATTTGGGGGGAAGAACGCTATGACTAGGGTTGTGATTGTAATTAGGGGGTGGTGGATGATCACCGGGTCTAGGTGGCCCTGGAGGCACAGGAGCTGCCATTTATACGAAATTCAAAACTCTTACGATCTCTTCTCTTCCCTTTTCCTTCTTTTTATTTTTCTTTTATGGATTCTTCGTCAATCTTCATTGTATGAACTATACCAACCAAGTTTGAAAATTTAGTAAACTTAACCGGAAAGAATGGAGCTTTAGGGCTAGTGAGAAAAAACCTTGGGCTGAAAAGAAGCTCTGGCGATGATTCGGGCTTGATTTTTTTTACCGTTAATTCGAAATTTCTTTACAAGCGAAGAGAGAGAGAGAGAAGATTAGGAGGAAAATATCAAATTCAAAACAGATTTTATGGCTTGTAGGAGAAACAAAATGTTGGGTGTGAGAGATAAGGGATAATAATGTTGACGGCCGGCGGGATCGCACTTCCATCTTCAGAGTTTGGTAAAATCCATTTGACAATTTTTTCCTTCTAAATTAGGAAATGGTTGGGTTAGCCCAAAACCCAAGTCGTAACGTAACGGTGTTTTTTCCACACTAGAAAAAAGAAAAAAGAAAAACAACGGTTTCCCAATATTTTTAACATTGGCATTTATCTGCTCTACTTACCGCGTCGGCTATCTCGACTGTGGCCTTGACATTGATGAATTTAATTAGTTAAATTAATTATCTTCAGCTACTTGCCAACGATAACATGCCCCAATGCCAAACCATAGCCTTTGATGCATCCGCACCGGAGGCGTCTCCCGCCGACGACGCTCCGTACACTCACTATTGACTCCACCGCCGCCGTCATGGTTCCAGAAGCCGTGGTACTCATCCGCCGGTTCCTCTTGTTTGTGGCGGTTTGCCTCTCGTGCTTGCTCCTCTACAACGACTCCAATGCCCTGCGCTTTCTCCCTCGCTTCTCTTCGTCTCCCTCTGTTCTCTTCTCCGCCAACAATTCCCCTCTCGTGAGTGTACACTGACTCTCATCTCTACTTCTTTCTAATTTCAATTTGTGTATTGCGCTGCTTTCGAATTTTGTTCTTCATTTCCTTCAGCAATAGAAAATGGGTCTTTTGTGTTGTTCTCAATTCTTGTGCATTTCCTACTTGTTGAATGAAAAGAGTATACAATTTAGATGAATTGCGTTATACCTATTGAAAGCTTGAAACTTGTGTAGGTTAGCGGGGAACATCGGCTTCAAAAGGTTTTAAAGGATGCTGCCATGGAAGACGGAACTGTGATTTTAACAACTTTGAATGAAGCATGGGCAGCTCCCAATTCAATCATCGATCTCTTCCTCGAGAGCTTTAAGATTGGAGTTGGCACCCACAGGCTCCTGAACCATTTGGTGATCATTGCCTTGGATCAAAAGGCATTTCAGCGTTGTTTGGAGCTGCATAACCATTGTTTTGCTCTTATCACTCAAGGGGTTGATTTTCGTCGAGAGGCTTATTTTATGACCCCTCACTACTTGAAGATGATGTGGGCAAGGATTGATTTTCTGCGCTCTGTTCTTGAGATGGGCTACAATTTTGTATTCACGGTAATCTCTTCTGCTACTATTACAAAACCCATTGGCACTTAAACTTGATTTTGTCAATTTGAAAATTATTTATATGATACAATACAACCTGATGAGAAACTTGTAGACATGAATTACCAACTTTGAAAATTATTTATGTCACAACCTTCTTTTTGGTCATAATTTGTGACATAACCTGATGATAATCTCTTATACTTGAATTACTTTACTCGAAGGTATGTTTGCCAGATCTTCTGTGACTCTGTTGATTCATTATTTATTTATCTCATTACACAACCTCTTGATTAAGGGATTCAAGTATTTATGCAAAATACATCTGTAAGACTCAGTAATGCATACCCATCTGTATTTCATACTGACTTGGGACATTTTGTTGCACTTTGATATGTTTCGTATTGATTGAAATCTCATCAACCTTGGTTTTTTTTTTCTTCAATTCCTTTGTCGTTGGTCTTTCCTCCTCCAGGATGCTGATGTTATGTGGTTTAGGGATCCATTTCCACAGTTTTATATAGATGCTGATTTCCAGATCGCATGTGACCATTTCCTAGGCAGCTCAGATGATTTAGAGAACAAACCCAACGGAGGGTTTAACTATGTAAAGTCCAATAACAGGTCAATAGAGTTCTACAAATTTTGGTATTCCTCACGGGAAACCTACCCTGGATTTCATGATCAGGATGTCCTCAATATAATCAAGTTTCATCCTTCCACCTTAACTATTGGACTGAGAATGAAATTTTTGGATACTGCTTACTTTGGTGGATTTTGTGAACCTAGTAAAGATTTGAATCAAGTTTGTACAATGCATGCAAATTGTTGCTATGGTCTAGATAGCAAGCTTCATGACCTTCGAATCATGGTTCAGAATTGGAAGCAGTTTATGTCCCTGCGACCAAATTTGAAGAAATATTTGATCTTACCATGGGGGGTTCCGCAGAATTGCAGGTAAGGAAAGCAAGCACATAAAGATATTGGATGCCTTGAATTTTTTTATTTTTTTATTTTATAAATCTGAATTGATTGTTTCTTAATACAGTAGCATACATCTATAATTGCCGTCACTTGTTCAGTGTTTAACCATTGTTTTCTAATAGGGTTCTTAATTTTTGTGAATTTCACTCCAGCCTTGATTCTCTCCATCGCTATGATGCACCGGAGAGTAATAATCCACATGATTTGCAAGACTGAATGGAGCTGTATAAGTTCTGAAGCCTCTGCCACACAGGTGGTTTCCAGGTTTGAATGCCAAGGACATTCGTGGGGATAAACCTTCTTCGATGATAGAAAATTGTATTGGTTTGTGGTAAAGGACCAGAGAGAGCCCCAAGGGGGGAAGTGATCATAAACCAGACATGGTGGGGGTTGGAAATACTTATAAAGAGAACAGAACCTGGCATTAGGTCCCTTAGCACTGCTAGGATTCGCAAAGAATTTGGAGTAGGTATCATTTAGACCAATTTTCATATCTATTGGTCAATGATTTTTGTTCAAAAAATATCGATGGTTTAGGTTTAGTCAATCTTGTTATCCAACTGGTAGCATTTTTTGGATGTTCCAATTTATACTATGCAAACGGCCGGCAAGTGTTTGTGAGGATCTTGATAAGCATAATCGTGACTTCAGTATGCCTCTTTTCAATGTCAACTGTTGGAGCAAATTCAGTAAATAAATAGTAAAAAGGAAGTTCGGTATGGCTTCACGTAATGGTATTCTCAAAAGGACTTGCAAACTTGGCTTTTGTGAAAAATATTTTCTAATTCCTCCAACCGGCATGCATTTCATTCTCTAATTTATACCGTGTGATTTGATTTTGATTTTGATTTTATTTTTTCATTTTAACCTAAGTCGAGAGGATTTGTCTCCGCATAACGTTTACAAGGCAATTCTCCAATGTCAGGTAGTACGACTAACAGAAGGAAATTAGGTATATATCTACCTTTTTCTCCAGTCTCTTTTCTTTGGTATTTCTGTTCTTCCAGCTTAGAGCTATTTGCACCAGCAGTAAGCGTAAAACCTATTTTTAGCCACTTTGTTACATTCTAGTTGGAGTTTCCTTTACGTAAGAATAGTTTTAGAATATCACTTTGTCCAAACATGGAAAAAATGCATACGATACGACCATGAATCATCATGGACTCCATTGTTTTTCTTTTGAAATACTTCCCCCTTGTACTAAACAACTATTATACACACAAAAAATCAAACGCATAAATAGAAAGAACAAAAACTAATTTACAAACAATTACAGTCGACTCTTTATCCTTCACCAATATCAGAGTCCAATTTCTGGCTTACAAGCACGCCTCGATCCCAATTCTCAAAACACCTGTAAATATAGAGATCATGGCCATAAATCATATAACATGAGATCAAGATCAGTAGATACAATCAACAGTACTAGTTATTAAATTACACAGCATTTAAACAAGCTGCCTCGGACACGGCTTGTTGGCTTAACAAGCTTTGTTTTCGAGCTACTCAGTTTGTTTGCAACCTTACTTTAAGGTGAAAACTCACATTCTCTAGTAAGAATGGAACATTTGCAAAGGGAGAGGGAAGCCCTGTTTTGTAGTCGAAGAGGGGAGAAAATAAGTCATAGGAAAACACAAACCTTGTTCCATCAACATTGATGCAAATGAAGTGGCCATGTCGCCAACCATCTTGGAAATGGCCAAAAAATACATCACCGGCTTTTGAATAAAAACGACCTTCACCATTGGCCTTTCCTTTCCAGAAGTTTGCAAACCATCGGTCCCCGGTGTGAAAATACAACCAACCCTATATATGACCATAGAAACAACCTCTTTCAGAATGACATCATCTACAGGACAGCACCTACATGTGGAGTTTTACTGTCAAGATAAATAAAACAGATATTACATGAAATAAATTACCTTGCCATGCATGACATCATCCCTCCATGATCCCTGGAACACATCCCCATTACTAAAGTAGAATGCACCAAGACCTGATCTTTTGCCGTAGCGCCACATACCATCATATATGCTTCCATCTCCAAGAAGCAAACGACCCTGTAGAATTCTTTTCAGGATTAGAATTTAAATCCTTTTGTACAGATCAAATCACGACATCCTCAAGAATTTTGATTTTCAGCTACTTTTTTAGTCTCATGGAACAATACCTTTCCTTCAGGAAGTCCTCCTTGGCACCGTCCTTCATAGATTCCCCCTCTGTATTGCATCTCCACTACAGGACTCCACTTTTTTGGTGAATCTCGTTCTGCTTCCTGTATGTAGAATAGGTAACAAAAACTAAATCCTCATGTTCTGGCAAGTATAAGAAGTGGTCAAATACAATATAGAGAATAAACTTAGGGCCCTTTTGATAACCATTTAGTTTTTAGTTTTCATTTTTTGTGCTACAGTACAGAGGAAAATGAGAGTTAGGATGAGATTGAGAGAGAGGATGAGGGAGGAGGATGGGAGGGATAAGTAACAAAAGTGAAAACAAAACTTGAAAGTGAAAACAATTTCAAATAGATTTCAGTTTTTACTTTTTGTTTTCACTTTTTTTACTCCTCCCTCCCATCATTCCCTCTCATCTTCCCTCTCAATCCCATCTTCACTCTCATTCTCACTTCCATTCTCCCTCTTTTTCCTCTGTACTCTAGCACAAAAAATGGAAACTAATTATCAAACAGGCCCTTATATTACATAATTTATTACTAAGCATGAGCATCTTTTTTATTACAATAAGCATGAACATCTTTAATGTGAATATTACTAAGCTTTGTTTTTCACAAGCAGCTGATTACCAGCATAGATGCAGCACGAACAGAGAGATTTCCTTGCTTCTTAGGATTATCAGCATCTTTTCCTTTTACAAGTGTTGATGCTGTGTTATAAAATTCTTTGACTGCTTCAAGCCCTGTGTCAGTAAATGAACTCCAAGAAGACATGCTTAAATTGACAGCTGGTTGCGCTTTCACACCATTCTCAGTTTTTGTCTCTGGGTTTTGTGTTGGAAATGAGATATTGACACTATCTTTCAACTCTTCTGGAGGCCTTACACCGACTGGAAGGCAGAAGGTGCTCAGGTTATCTAGTATCACAGTAGCTCCATCTTCAGCTGCCCTCTCTTTTGCCCAATCCTTTGCAAGCTGATATCCTGGTCCCAAGTTCCAACTAACAAGTGGCTGTCTTTGAAAGGCAGGAAGTTCTTGGTAATGCATTTTAAGTTTTAACTATGATTAGTCAAATGTAAGAACATGTTGAACTTCAGGAATGAAAAGTAATGCCGAATGCTTTGAAGGATTACTAGGATACCAGGCACAGACTACTCTATCAAACTGGAAACTAGTAATTTAAATTTTAAGGAGAAAAAAAAAGAAGTAATAGTAGTGCTACCTTCAGTGATTGGATCATATAAACTAGAAGAGTCGGTAGCCTCGAACATTCCATCATCATTTTGTTCAGACCCCCTATAATTCCTCCAAAAACAAAAAATTTATGCAAGCTTTTAAGATTATGCATAGCAGACAAATCTTTAGGAGAACTAAATTAAAATAGAGAAACCAACAAACCTTGAAAATTGGAAGTCGTCTGCCTGGGGTCCTTCAGAGTACTCATCAAAACCTTTGGCTACAACATCAACAGCATTTCTATTTCCCATTTCACTAGAATCTGGTGAATCTATCTCTTCAGAAAAGCGTGCGTTTTCAGGTGATGGGTTTTTCTGAGTGTTATTTGATTGCCATTGGTGTCTACTGAAAAGATCAAAAATGAAAGGAAAATGCTGGGCTAGTCCAGAGAATATGCTACTTTTCTGAGAAGCCTGTTTCCGAGCAAAACTGGTAATCGCATAAAATGTACATTAGAAAGCTAAAAACAAGATCCATCATGCATCAGGATAGGCAGAAAGCAAGTTGCAAATACTACTGTTAAATACTTAACATAAGGCATGAAGTAAAAAAGTTACCCTACAATAAGAACCGTTGTGACTACCAGGTTGGGCTCTAGACTAGGTTCATGAATTGTAGAAATTAAGATTTCCCCCTCATATTCCGTACTTTGACGAAAAGTACGCAAAATTGTCTGTACATCACTGTTATCGATAGTGCCCGAACTTGCAAGGATGCATATAATCATACCATCCCAGTCCTATGCAACAGAGAAAAAAGAAAATTCAGAAAGCAGCAAAAGATCAGAAAAGTGGCATAAATTTATAACCACACCATATCCATTTAGCTCAATAAGGTCATACCTTTACACCCACACTAAGGAAAGGGCAGTCATACATAGATCGTAATATTGAAGTTTCAATATTGTAGCCAGCACCAAATCCAATTTTTGCTTCTTTATATCCTTCCAGAATCTGTACATAGTTGCATTAGCCTCACGATAGGACCAGCATTGGTAAGAGACAGAAAGGAAGAAAATGCACTTTTAAAACTTGGGCAAGAGGAGACACAAAACAAAAAAAAACTGTGCAAACAAAAACTATTTAATAAAGCACATAATAACTTGCACAAAGGTGTATGGTATGATTCATGAACACTTACTTTAATTACTTCTGAAACTTCGATCATTTTCACATTATCATGGGATGCATCAATAAGTTTTCTGTGTATATCCTATAAGTGCACCAGCAATAAACACGTCACAACCAGGCTACTGTTAACTTAGACAACCAAACAAACATTAAAGAACTAAACTTACAGATGTTAAAACAGATACAGCAGTTACTGCCAATAAAACAGCATTATTTGCAGTCTTGACAGCTTCATCTAAAGTTACCAAGTCCTTTTTCAGTAACATGTCAGTGTCAATGCCTGCATTTGAAAAGAAACCACATAATGTGCAACTTTATGGTTGATGGGGAAAAGCATTGACTAGAAAACTGGTTTAGGCATTGCTGTAATGTGGTGTGGGGGACTTCAAATCTTCATCTAACAGAAAATATAACTTACAAATAAATAAATTTGTATGATCCTGAAGTTTTTCCATTAGATCTTTCACCTGAAAATTAGATTAAAAGTTGCAAGATTAGGCATGGATTCAATCAGGAAGGCCCATCGTGAAACTCAAAGTTTAGATACATCATAGTAAAACTTCAATGAATATTATACCTCAGGTGAATGGATGTTGCAACAAAAATTTGAAACACAGTAATTAAACAAGATAAACAGACATCTGCTAATGCTTACAGGAGGACATTATACCACAGAGAGACTTTGACAATGGGTTCTCAAGAGAGCAAATTATGATACTTCCAAGTTTATATGACTTTTATAGTTTAAACTTTTCCCGTAAGATGCATAGCAAAATAATTCATTTTGTAAAACATGCTACATATTTGATATTTATTGGCTTCTCCTAATCACACAGTACCTCAGCTTGGCGCCTCTGTCCTTCAAAGCTGAAAGGCTTCATAATAATAGTGACCACAAATCCATTTGCAGATCTTATTTTTCTCAGAATATCAATCGCTATCATGAGGTCCAAGCCATATCCTGCACTTGCCACCTAGAAATAAAAGTAACAGAAAAATTGGATGCCAATCAGTTTCATATAGGAAACAGAGTAACCTACATTGTAGGGGAATATAAAGTATGTTCCGCAACGTTTTGAATCATAACCCTTCTTATCAAAGAAATCATTCATCAAATTAAGTGGCACCAATAACTTCCATAGAACAATGAAGAGACCTGAACGGGCTGAGAAAGACAATGCTAGACATAAAGAAATACAAGAGGAAGCCAAAAAACAAGTAATAGGTAAGAAATGTACAAACAAGGATAATAGCCTTTGAACATGACTTTAAAGACAATGGAGCTTCAAAATTCATCGGAGTCGCATCTGCAACAATAACCAAAAAGAAAAACAATATATCATATAAAGAGTCTATACTTGACTTAGGAAAAGTAAGCGCATTTTTGTACATGTTTGCTACAAATTAACAGAAAACACACTAGCAAAAGCACATATCATGAAGATTTAAATATACTTTGCAATAAAGTGAGACAGTTACACCACAATACAGAGCAACTTAAGAAAATAATTTCTAGTAACAATTTTGGATAACTATCTGAAAGGATAAGCGCTGAACCTTTTCCAAAGATCCGTCGTTGTAACTGCACAATCAATGGATCTTTGATGAGAATTTGCCTGCAAAAAAAGTCCATTGTATATAACTAAATTTCTTATGATTATCTCGCACACATACATATTTACAACGGATAATCGGCATACATAAACATCAATATACTAGACTTGCTTCAGCTTAAAGCATTGCATTGCGGCAAATTGTACTACGAAATTAGCAACATAAAAGCATTCACCGTAGCCAAAAAAACAATAGTGAGCTCACCAAAATCGCAGAGACGAAAACTGGAACGGCGATTCGAGACAAAAATCGAGAACGGCGTCCTTGCGACTGCCAATACCGACCACTTCAACGAACTCGGAATTTCCCCAAAAATCGTCCCAATTCACTTCACAGTCCACATCGACAGGTCCATTGACGGCCGAACTCGCCTCTATTCGAAGTGAAGACGGCTTCCGGCTGCAACTACTGCAGCTTATATAGTACTTTCTTCTGTAACTGAGGGAGCTTTTCTTGAAGATAAATCCACGGTTTGAAGAATAAGGGCACAGTGGAACAGCATAAGATGATCGGAAACTTATGAATGCGGGAAGCTCCATTGCTGCTTAAAAGAAATGTGATGCCTACAAAACTCCCTCCACAGGAGTTGGTGGGTTCAATGGCAGATTGGGCGGGAGGGTTTTGAGGACGGAGAACTAGAACCTCAAAGAACGACTCTAGTTGTTTGATTATCGATGGAGTGTAGCGAGTTCAGACTGTTCAGCTCGCTAACTAAAAAATATAAAATAAAAATAAAATTGGTTACTTCCGCTTAGGCCAAGCCCGCAGGAAAAATATCCCAGCCCACTATAATTAAACCCACAACCCAATAACCCACCTCAACCACCCGTCTAATTGAAGATTGCACTTTGCTACCAAACCGTGATTGGAGTTGCAAGATTTCTCGTGTGTTAAGAGGGAGCAAAATACAACTGTTGACCACCTTGCTAATTCGGGGTATGAATTACTTTTGGGGCTTCGTAATTTTGAGTCAACTCCGGATTCTATTTCGAACATTTTATTGGATGTTGTGCTAGAAGGCCCTTGAGAGAGCTGTGATCTGTTATTTTTTTAGTAAATTTAGGTTTTAGCTATAATAAAAAATTTCACTTTTGGAAAAAACTAAAGTTTTTTTAAAAAAGACAGAAAAACCTCTCAACTTTCAAATCAAAGACATGCAAGTGTAAATGATTTTTTAGGAAATCCAAAAATAAATAAGGGCAAATTTGTCCATTTTGGCTTCTTTTACAAAATTTATCTCTCCTTTGGGTTTTTCCAAAGTCTCCCTTTTTTTTCTCTTTGTTTCGTCTTGGTTTCAACCCACTTGTAACAAAAAATAAATTATAAATAACACACCTCAATCCACAATTTTGAATTTCGATATTTTAACTACTCTCTCTAATGTGTTTTTTAATATTTTTTATACAAGAGATATTGGAGATGGACAAATCGAGCGTAAGGCCATCTCCTTTAATAGGGCTAAATGTAGCCCATAACTATAATTTTAGCCCTCCAAAATATAATTTTTTTAAAATTAGTGCAGGATTAAATTTTTTCATCTCCAAACATGTAGGGCCATATTTTAGTGCCCTCCATATTTTATTATTTTGAAAAAAATTATGGTACAATACTCATACATTTCACTACTATGTATTGTTTAATTTAATTAAACTACTATTTATAGACAATATTTCATATATGACACGTGTACGTAGATACATTTAACAAGATTTCTTATAACATTTTGAATGAATGAAATGGAAAGTGTGGAAAGAAAAAAAAAAAAAAAAAAAAAAAAAAAAAAAAAAGAGAAAGTTATTAGTAAGTAGAGAATGTGATAGAATTTGTAGGAAATGTGGAATGAAATGAGTGATAATTTTTTGAAGAAATTTTGAGGTATTTATAGACATATTTTAGGTTTTTAAAATATAAAAATTAAAGAAAAGAAAGTCAACAACGGCAAAACCTTTTTTTTTCCAATAATTTTATATACATTTAAAATGTAAAAAGAGAAAGGAAAAAAAAAGTAACGGCTAGCTAACGTCATCGTGCTTTTAATATCAGCCTTTGGATATGGAGTTGTACTAGACGTTCTATGCTCACGCCCACGCATGATACTTTCTCTGATTTGGCAACTCATGTGTTAGGCCCGCACAAAAAATTGACATGGGCTATATAACTGGGCTACAAGTGGCTTAGTTAAAGAGCTAAATGTGGCCAATTTTTTTTCACTCATGGATAGAGAGTTTTGCATTAATTTAAGGCTATATTTAGCCTATAGCCCATAATTGGAGATGACCTAAAAACTCAGATACATGAGTTAATGCTCTTAACCTTTCAAAGGACGAAATTGACTTAACTCACATTTGATTTTTTTTTCCCCCACTTTAAATATCCCCCTCTACTGATCTATATGAATTTCATGACCACCTTCGTCATAATATATGCGTACGTCATGATGATCACACAGTCGACTTGGAGCTCTGTGATGGGTGGGGATATACAATATACAAATGCAATGCCGCCCCATAGCATAGCAGCATATATATATATATATATATGCTAAGTTAATAATACTACAAACGTAAATATCAAAGAAACCCTCTTCAAAGCGACATTCAAACATTAATTCTACTGACTTGACTTAGTAGCAAGTGATAACACACTCGAGGCTTCCCCGAAGTTATTGCTAATATTTTGGACCACATTTCTCTTTCAATACACCGTCAGTTTGATTCTCTTTTTCAGCCCAAATAGTGTTTGCCTTAGAATTTCTTCCCATTTTTTCTTTATAAAAAAAGAAAAACCAAAAAAGGTTTTTTAAAATAAAAAAAGAAATTAAGAAACACGTCACATGGGCCCAAAGAAACTTAAAAATAAAAAGATTTTGGGCCTAATGATTCAAACCCATAAAGCCCTAATAGGCAATAAAGAGCCCTTAACGGTCTGACTGAGTCGGAACTAGAAAATGATTTGAAAAGGAAGAAATGCATGGGAACGTAAAAAAAAAAAGTCTAAAAGAAAAAGAGCAAAAGCAATCCGTATACCGTATATGACATGTTTGGTTGAATGTTAGGGCAGATGACAGACAGACATACAGACAGACACAGGGCAAATTAGAGAATGAATTGAGTGTTATATGTAAAGTGAAAACGCCGCCGTTGTTGAAAATCTCCATCTTGTAAAAGAACCATCGTCCTCGCGTTGCAACATACTGCTGTGTTGTGTTGTCACTTAATGGTCTCTGCATATCTCGTCTTTATATATATTAATTATATCCTGAATGCTGTGTTTGGTTTTCTTCAAATTCTTGCTGCTTTTTGGATGTGTCTTTTGACAAATCATCTGAGTGTAACCGAAACTTGCTATTATATTATATTATTGACGTATGCATATATATATATATATATATAAATATATACATGCGTTCCATTCTAAACAGTCATTTCGATATTTTCAAATACATTCTAAACAGTCTGTCCTAAACTCCTGTAGCAATTAATGAGAGTTACTACAACCAAGACCTTCCTTAACAGCACAAATACTCAAGGAGATGGAAACAAGAGGTACATAGTTGGAACTCTTGCACACATGTACCATTTATTTCTATCTCCTTCTTCACGCGACACATTCTTTATGAGAGAGACAGAAATAAATGATACATAGATAAGTTTTCCTTAGAGAGATAGAAACAAAGAATGCATATGCCTCGTGACAGGCAAGCTTTCATCCCTGAATAGAGTCAGAGCGTATTGCCACACTACAAGAGTTATAGTTGTAATTTGCATGTTTAATAAGCAATATATTAATTAATAAACCACCTTTATTCAAATAAGAGATGCCTAGAGCAGCTGAATAATAACATAGTAATCAGATTTGGTATTTGTTTTCTCAATTTAGGCATTGTTTTTTCCGTTCAGAAATTGAGACACCGTATATCCACCACGCAGAAACTCCCATTAGAATTTACAACTTAATTAATATATACAGCAGTGGTATAAGTCTTCTCAGGTCCAAATTTCAATGTCATCCACCCAAAAGAAATGAAGAATATATTTTTAGACCCTCATCATATTATCAAAATGACACACTTGACAGTGATATGCGTAGTTATAGTTAAGCTGTCATTGTATCAAAGAATGACAGATCTGCTGCAAGCGTTCTTGTATAAGGAAAAGTCTTTAGCTGGCATGGAACAAAAACTGTCATTCCAATTTCCAAATATTTGAGAGGGGAAAGAAGAAAAAGAAAAACTGTCCCAATCAAGTATTCTCATTCCACAAAGCAGCAAAGTTTCATTCTATTATATCACCTTCAAAATCAGACAACTTACTAAATTAAATAAATCACTTTAATTTCTAATTACCTTGTCTTTTTTTTTCACTGTACAATATCTGTGGCTGAAAATAAGCTGTGACACAATCAGAGTAACAGTATGATAGGGTTGGTGATGATATAGCAATTAATAATTAGTGATGTAAAATCTAAAATAGATTTTGCCGTGTAATTGTTTATCGATAGTGGTTGGTTGGATTAGGTCCTTTCTTAATAATTCTTAGGTCTTTTAATTATGTAATTATAAAAAGACTGAAATGCCCCTTCATATTGGCCCCCCAGCCCCAGATGCGTCTGCCAGTAGGAGAATCAATTTGCATGTAACTGAAGCGGACCTAGGAGGCGCTGCTCTTTACATGTCAGTGGGCAGAGAGAGCTCTCAAATTAATGGCAACCGCATTCTGCTAGAGCTTAAGCTGGATTTCAGCAAAACAGCCTCATCTCAAACTACCTTATATCAGAGCTCTAATATACACGAAACTGACTCTGTATATATATATATATTATAATTTCTTCGTAATTATTTTCTTTCTGGGATTGTTTTCTTCTGCGTTTCAAATATTATTTATTATTCAATTAATTGATCTTTTTTAGAAAAAGAAATTTATATATATTCATCCTTTAGTGTTAGGTTTAGTTTAGTTTTCTATTTTGCTGAAATGTTTTATTTTTACAGTGAGGTCCACTTGGGACAGGGGTGATGGAGGATAGTTTGTCTGGATGTGAGTAAGAAGATACGAAGACGAGAGAGAGAGAGAGAGAGAGAGAAAGAGAGGTAGCTGCTTCATGCTCCTCCCACGCACCATACCATGTCGTTATGTGGCTATGGATTGGGTCCACCGATCTGTAGGCCTCACCTCCTCTTTCTCTCTGTCTCTCTCTTCTCTCTATCGATTGATTATTTTCATTTTGTATTTTATTTAAGGGATGAAAAAATTCATAGAAAATCTGGAGAAAAAAAAAGGAAACTGTGGAAAAGATGCCAATAAAATTTAAAATAAAAGAAAATATGTGTATATGTGTTACTGTATGTGCATGACACCAAATCATAAAAGCATAGCAACATATCACTTTGCTCAGAAATTTTCATTTAAAACAAGGGGAAAAAAAAAGGCAGAAGAGAGAAGAATCAAATGCTTAGCTATGGAGTTGATTCCTTTTTCTTTCTCTTCAGCTCCGCTTGGTTAATCTAGTAGCTTGCAGCCAGCTTTCCTACTTTTCAAGTATTTTTCTTCTTTGTTTCTGATTATATTAATCAATACTCCACAACCTCTCCTATATATATACATCATTGGTTTTGAGATAAGATTTCAGGAGGACTCAAATTGGTTGTGGGGTTGTGGTGGTTTCAGATTGCTTTGTGAGGTAAAGGGAAGAAAGAGAAGCAGGGAAAAGCAGGAAAGGGTCGGAGAATTAGAGAAGAAGAAGATATAAATTAGATAGATGGCTGCGTCTTCTTCGTCGGTCGCACCGCTTTTCGGAATTAGAGAAGAAGATCAAAACCCGCAGATGAAGCAGCAACATTCCTCTACACCGCCAACCTCGTCCACAGCTGCAGCAGCTGCTCCACCTCAGAAGAAAAAGAGAAACCAACCTGGAACACCAAGCAAGTATCCAACAATTAATTAAAATTTTGTTTTCTTTTGTAGCTAGCAAGGATCTAACACAAAAGAAAATTAAATTAATTTCTGAATTCATTCACAAGTGCTCCTTTTTTTTTTCCCTCGTCACAGATAAGGAACCCTAAATTAGGAGAGGAATCAATTGAAATGGGAAAAATACACAGACACATACATATACATATATATATAAATATATATATAGATATGTATAAAAGTTTATGATTTAGTTGGATTGAAATGGGCACATAAGTTTATAAATAAAGATTGTCTTGTAGCATATATGTATGATTTGTTGTTGTGATTAATAAAGATATGAAATTTCTAATTTGTTGTGGTTTGGCATTTTTCATGAGAACAGATCCAGAAGCAGAAGTGATAGCACTATCTCCCAAGACCCTAATGGCAACAAACAGGTTCATATGTGAGGTATGCAACAAAGGCTTCCAAAGGGAGCAGAACCTACAGCTCCACAGAAGAGGACACAACCTGCCTTGGAAGCTCAAGCAGAAGACTACAAAAGAACCCAAACGCAAAGTCTACCTGTGCCCCGAGCCCACATGCGTCCACCACGACCCCTCCCGAGCTCTCGGTGACCTCACCGGCATCAAAAAGCACTTCTCTAGAAAGCACGGCGAGAAGAAATGGAAGTGCGAGAAGTGCTCCAAGCGCTACGCCGTGCAGTCCGATTGGAAGGCCCATTCTAAGACTTGTGGAACTAGAGAATACAGATGTGACTGTGGCACTCTCTTCTCAAGGTAATTAAATTCAATTAAATTTTTTTTTTCTTTCACTCGTTTTCTCATTAAGCAAACATCATATCCTTAGCCAAGCCAGGCTACTTCATTTCATGAGAGAGATATGGTTTGGTTTAGGCTATTATATTATAGCTTCCTCAAGTCATCGGTGACAAGAGAAGAAAAGGTTTTCACTCTTTTAGTATACGTTTCATTTTCACCCTTGTCCTATTGTAATTCTTCTTCTCTTTCTCTTTTTTCTTTTTGTTTTTCTCCTGTCAATGTTTTGATTTTAAAATTTCTTTGGGGGAAGGAAATGGCAGAAAACATGCTCCCACGTGAATAATCTGTGAGAAACTGCCATGGTCGTAGTGGTTTCAGTTCTCTGGATATATATATATCCCCACTCCAGTCGGGGCACCCAAAACCAACTAAAAGAAAAAAAAATAGAGAGAGAAAGCTTGCCCCATGGTGGTACTGGTGCTTGAATTTCTTTTTCTTTGTTTCACCTCGGAAACAACGCCCCGCTTCGATCTTTAGTTTAACCTTTCCGTATTCACGTGTCGCTATGCTGGCATGTAAGAAAGAAGAGAAAGAGAGGGTGTTGCTCTCCTATTATGAGCTGCCCCAATCTCATCATAACGCTTTGCTTTCTAGGGCGCTCTCTTCCCAATTGACCATCTTCTCTTCCTCTCCCTCTCCCTCTCCCTCTCCCTCTCTCTAAACTGGTTTTCAGTTTGGCTTTACTTCATCATGACCTTGCAGTTTGAAAGCTGTGGTCGAAATTAAGGGTTTACATAATGGCACGCAATTGGGGTCATTAATTTATTGGGTTGAGAGTTGAGAGGAGAGGACCAGTAATTGGGGGAAATTGAGAGATGGAAGGGGTTTTGGGAATAATTCTCAAGTCAAGTGGAAAAAACAGACAATTCATCATGGGTTTTGTATTAACTGAGCATAACTCCCCAAATGGGTTTATCGATGGATTACCTTTCATCACTTGGAATACATTCTCATGTCGCATTTATTGATCTGCCAGTTCTTGAAATGGTATTTCTTTTCAACACTTATTTTCTTCACACACGTTTTACTTCACTATATTTTCTTGAAATGGTATTTCTTGCTTGTCTTCGCTATTAGTTTCAGTGTGGCAGATTATGTAGTGCGTGTAACTGTGCAAGTCATTAAATGCGTCATCTCCTTCAAAATATAATCATATATACCGTCGAAATTATTGCATAATTAATTTTTTGTTCACATTAGGGTTTTGATATATCTATATATTTTCATTTTTATCCATTTTTGGAATTGCACTGCTTGTCGGTGTGATTTAGAACATCTAACGCTGCTAATTGCACTGCCCTAATGCTGAAACATTGAAATACCTATACACTACTGAAAATGGGGGAACTCACTAAGTGGATAATGCTTCCATTCTTAAGGATATAATTAATTGTATAGATTTTGGATTTTATCAACACAAGTGGGGCCAATTCCATCTATATATGGAAGTCATTTCATTTTACTTTCATTCACTTTAGTATATTACCGTACATTTTCCAAGTTGATGTGTCTGTGATAAACATGAACACTTTCTCTCCAGAAAATATATATTTTAACCTAGCTTGCTAGTGCACTGCTTTACTATTACCACGAAATGAATCTAATGTGAGCTCTATCCAATTGTAATAATATTTGGTACGTGCTGTAGGCGGGACAGTTTTATCACGCACAGGGCCTTCTGCGATGCACTGGCTCAGGAAAGTGCAAGGCATCCGCCCAGTTTGAGCACCATTGGCAGCAGCTTATATGGGGGCAGCCTCAGCAACACTGGCCTCGGCTTATCTCATCAAGTTGTGGGCCCACCTCAAATTTCCTCACTCCAGCAAGACCACAGTCAATCCAGTACAGCTGCTGACATCTTAAGACTTGGTGGTGCGGGTGCTGCTGGCGCTGCTCGGACCGGACAATTCGATCATCTCCTGGGCTCATCTTTTCGACCAGCTGCACAGTCCTCAGCATCTTTCTTCTTGACTGCCGCTGATCAGTCCACCCAACAACAATACCATGATCATGATCAGGACAAGTCATTCCAGGGCCTCATGCAATTCTCTGATAATCATCATCATCATCCTCATCATCATCTTCATCAGAACAACAACAACTCAAACAACCCACCTCATCATCACTCAGCAGGAGCCAATCTATTCAGCCTACCTTTCCTTTCCAACAACACCACCAATACTACTAATAATAACAACAGTGCCACCAATAACAATTTACTAATTAGTCCTGACCATTTCAACACCAATGTAAATGGCACTACCACCGCTGCCGGAGGCAGTGAAGGTTCACATAATCTCTTCTCCGGTCACATAGTGGGCGGTGATCATATTAGCACCGGGATACCTTCTCTCTACAGCACTAATAGTAATATTAATAATAATAATCAGCAGCATGCATCTATGGCGCACATGTCAGCAACCGCACTGCTTCAGAAGGCTGCTCAAATGGGCTCCACCAATTCAAGCAACAACACCACTGCCTCGCTGCTTCGGAGCTTCGGCAGCTCCTCCTCAGCCACTGCTAAATCCGACAGGCCCGGGGCGCTTGTTCCTTCCAGCTTAGGCGGCATGTTCGGAAGTGATCAACACGACCAGAGCCACCTGCAAGACCTAATGAACTCGTTCGCTAATACTGGTGGCTCATCCATTTTTGCAAATGCGTCGTTTGGTGGCTACGATGCTGCAGCAGCAAATAGGGCTATTAACATGGAGGAGACAAAGTTGCAGCAGCAGAACAGTCTGGGGGTGAGCAACATTGGAGGGGCTGATAGGTTAACAAGGGACTTTCTTGGGGTTGGACAGGTGGTGAGGAGCATGAGCGGGGGGTTTTCTCATCAGAGATCAGAGCATCATAGTGAACAACAGCATGGAATGGACATGAGCTCATTGGATTCAGAAAGCAATGCTGCAGCTGCAGCTGCGCCGTCAAGCCAATCTTTTGGAGGAGGTGGGAATTTTCAGTGAGAACAACTTGAGCTGGAAAAAGTACAGAGATGAGAGAGGTACGTGAAAATTAGTGACGACTTTTGTAGATTAAAAATGATTATATATGATTAAAGGAGTTAGTTTTCTTTGGTAAATGTGTCCTAAGTTCACTGGCTTTCAGTACTTTTCTTTTTCTTTTCTTTTGGGTTGAAAAAACAAAAACAATAAGAAAAGGAAATTCTGACACAATGTGTTGCATGGTTACATCACAAAATTGAGGCAGTCATGATCGATGACCTGGAGTACGATTGGGTGTCTCGTCTTTTTGTTTTTATATAAACATGATACTTTCTCAACTTTTATTTTTGCTGGCAGAGTCACGAGTGCTGCTGGACTTGTAAAGTGAGTGAGTCTGATGAGATAAATGTCTTCTCTCAATAAACGATGCATGTCCAACTTGTCTTGGATTACATTACACACACCACACACAACATACTCACATGCATGAATTATTTATTTACTTTAACCATTTCATCATAGCTCGCCTTTGTACATCTTTTTTATACTTTCACTTTTTGTTCCCAACATCTTTTATGTGATGATGAGATTGACTTCTTTCTCATGTATCCGTTGAATGTTTTCTTGGAAAAATCACTCCATTACTAATTTTGGGTTCGTTTGCAGGGAGTTCAACTTTCCCTCGTACCATAATTTATGCATCAAGTTCTGGCTAAGCAAATCCTGAACGCCATCAAGTTTTCGCGATGTCACACCAAGAGAATTAGTGCAGATTAATTAAGGTTTCTTCGACCTGTATATTTTCCGCTTTTGTTTTTTTGTTTTTGGTTGAGACCTCAAAAAGTGTTTTGGGAGGCCCGGGGGTTAATTTTCAAAGTCAATCAAGGCTAGAACTTTTTCCTAGTTTAAATTAAATGACCAGTGGACTCTCTCTTTCATGTTGAACTGATGTTCCCTTTTATGGAAATCCATAGCAACTTTCGTAATTATTTTGACCGCACATGCATGCAACCGTGCCATAATCAATGTTTCAAGGAGCCGTTACCAAGTAAGTTACGAGGATGAATAAAAAAGATAAGAAAAACTCAATGACTCAGAAATTATCCAGAAGATGATTGGTTTGGCACTTCAAAATAATTAATATGCACTCCTCCTTGATTTTGTTTTGCTATAGTTGGATTTTTACGAGGGAGTCTTTCTTTCGGAAATAACATGCTCAGTTAAGGAATAATTTCCATATCGACGAATAGGGAAAGATATCCCTTCCTGAACTGGCCATTAGTTGCATTCCATGGACACTATGCATGATCGTATTAAAAAGTACATGTGCATTTGCCTTGGCCAACATTATTACTGCACAAGTTAAACTGAAAAGACGACAATAATATTTTTCGTAATCTTCGTGCCTCTTGGAGTGTAAGAGTAGATGAGTAGCTGGAAAAGTCTACAACATTGCCTTGGTAGTAACCAAAGATCAACATATTGTTCATATTAGTGGGTTGGACGTGTGACTTGTGAGGGGTATACGTTAAGAAACATTATACATACAGATTTTTTATTGTATATAAATGTTATTCTACTTTAATCTAATCTAAACTACGATGAGGGAAATTCGAACTTTGATACAGAGTGGAGAGCACATCCGCTCTAGTCAACTTAGCCGAGCCGATATTTGCCATTATATATACATATAGATTAGTTGCAGATAACGTTTACCCTCTTAATTATTTGTATAGATTAATAGATACCACCACTATTGTATATATGTATAAAGAGTGAATGTGTGGGCATTTAGCACTACCGCAAAATGCCATTTAATATGCTACTACATATATAATAGACGTGCGTACATATATATATATATAGAGAGAGAGAGAAAGAGAGAGAGAGAGAGAGAGAGAGAGAGAGAGAGAGAGAGAGAGAGAGAGAGAGAGAGAGAGATGCAGTCAATCTGTTTGTACTAATAAAGAGACAAGTTTTGAAGCCTAAACCCCACCCCTCTCAAGGCCTCAACGTACGGGTCAAAAGAAATATAGAGACAAGACTGTATTATTATTTCTTTTTGTATTCTACTACGACTTTGGAATTTATTTACAACACAAACATATTCCACGGAACTTTGTTGACATCTCGTCTTATGCCATTCTCATTAGGTTGACTCTTTCAAGTCTTAATTAATATATATATATATATATATAGGTTCTTTCCATTCCCCTTGGACGCCCAAAGTTGGGAAAGGGCCTGGAATTAATAATTTCTCCCTTGATTTCTACCTCTCATATGATTATGATGAATGTACAAATTTACTTTTCTTTTTCTTTTTCTTCAAGCAATCCCATGGAAATTCTTACATTCATTTCATTTATTTAAAGGATTACTGTTGGCCTGTTTGGTGTGAAATAAACAAGAGAGGAAGAAGTCACGAGCCATCTTTAAAAAAGTCTATCTCCGAGAGTCTGTGATTGTACTCTTCAAGTTTGATGTCTACAAGTGGTCTTTTATTTTTTATTTTTGCTTTCGGGTAGGATGTCTACAAGTGGTTAGTATGGCCTATGGTCCCACGTTTTAGACACATCTTTCTATCCATCAAGGGGCCACCATTTGGAATTGAGGATTTTGAACAGATTGTACAAGACAGACTTCTCTTCGCTATTTATTTTTTATTTCGTGCTCCCTATACATATATTATTATTTTTCCTTTTGCTAGCTACCATTTTCACGGTTCAATTTAATCATTTGTTAAATAATTTAATGAAAATTTGATGAACCAATTTTTTTTTTTCTTTTCTCAAACACAATTGTGTTTGGTTAAAATAGGACTGAAATTCAAATTTTGAAGTGAAGAAAAAAAAACAAAAATACCATCCACTGTTGGAGTCACGGGCTGATGTGTACGATTCCTTTTGAAGATAGAAGAGACAACAATTAGGACAATAGTAGACAGCCCCATCATCATCGATCAATTTCCTAATAATTACAATGAGGTTAACGGCAGCTACATACTACACTTGCATATTTCCTATATATCAATTTTTGTTTTGCCCTAGTAGACATAATACTATATATATGGGGAACTGATTTTTCCACTCTTGTTTTGTCCATTTACATTTTCTTTGTTGGAAATTGTACATTTTCACTCATCTTTTGTCTACTTACATTTCTAAAAGAAAAGTGGAAAAATTATATATATATATATAGAGAGAGAGAATATGCTAAACCCAATTGGTTACGGCCAGCAGGTACTCTTCAGTCCGGCCCTAAACCCAATGGCAACACACATGCATTATGCATATGATGCTCCTCTAAATTAAAATTATAAATTAATCCAGTGTAAAGTAAAATATCTATCTATATCAGTGAAGAAAGTTGAATATTATTATATGCGACCGTGGACCTTGGTAAGGAATTAGAATGAAAAAGAATTGTTGGAAAGCGCCAGGGAGAGAGGGACAATTAATTCATTAATTCATTAAACTAATTAAATATTGTCAAACCAAGCATTGTTTTGTACTTAGTTTTAGCAGTGGCCAGTAGGGTTAGGTATTAGGTAGCCGAACAAATTCTTGTGCTTACTTTTATGATGTGGGGTTCTGGGTTCGGGGTTGGGCGTAGATAATTCGTCCCCCGGCCGGACCCTCTCTCTCTCTCTCTCTCTCTCTCTCGTGCTTATGAATTAAAATAGTTGATATGATTTCTTTGTTCTTGATGCATGGCAATATTAAATTATTGATTACGGATATCTCGTAACCAGACAAATAAGAAAATAAATTCTCACTTGTCCATTATGTTGGAATGTATCCATTTTTAAGATTCTGCACAAACAGTACTGGCTCAGCTGCTAGCGCCCATGTCTGCTGCTGTGACATTCTGATTCTGTATATATATATATATGTATACTCAACATGGCTTACCTCACACATTAGTTAATTCAAAGTTTAATATGGGACATCGATCTCATTACTAATATTAATTTAGATATTTTTCATTTGATTATTTCAAAATTAAGGACCATCACAGAGAGAGAGAGAGAGAGAGAGAGAGAGAGAGAGAGAGAGAGAGATGATATTTATCCTTCATCTTCAAATATCTACGCAACGCAAGAAAGATACCACACATTTGGTACTGGTACAGGGAGATATATAAATAGCTGAAAGTACTGGATATATCAATTAGTGTAAGCCTTAAGGCATGCACATGTAGAAATTAAATCAATGAAACCCTAATGCGTGGGGGTCAAGACAACCAGTTCATAATTAAACGTCCTTTTTTCCATACATATATTAAACAGGAACTGTCATCCATATGAACTTAATTGGAATCTCATTGCATGGCAGTGCCTCCAAAGGGTTGACTTGCCTGCGCTGACTTCAACTCCGGGTCTAAAGTGCCGATCATATTTATGCCATGATGTTGCTGATGATGATCTCGTTGTGAGTAGCCATGGCCACCACTCATGTTTCGTACCATCCCTCCAACTCCCAGAAAATCCAAGGTCAATTTATCAGACCCTCCAAAACTTACACCCAAATTTTGATGCAACTTAGCCTCATCGTAATTTGTGTTATTATGCTGTTGATCCATTGCATTAACCCTAGTACCAGTATTGCCACTACTAAACCCACCAAAGCTGTTATGATCCTGTCCATGCACTCCTCCACCTCCAAAAACAGAAGAGCCCCCACTGGCAAGAGAGTTCATCAAACCTTGAAGATGGTTTTCATTGTCCACCTGCTGTGATGATCTTAAGTGTTGCTGTTCGCCACCGCTACTGTGATGATCGCCACTAAAACTGACACCAACGGTAGAGGGTGCCGAAACTAGTTGCCTACCGGATTTAGCTGCTCTTGTTGATGAATTGCCTAACCCTCGTAGGAGAGACGAGCTTTCGGTGCTTGTAGTTGAACCCATTTGGGCAGCTTTCTGAAGCAAAGCAGTGGCAGACATATGTGGAGCAATGTTGCTTTCATGTTGCATGGAATTCCCATAGAGAGATGGTAGAGTAGCCGACCCCATATTGTGATGATCAGCAGCACCCATGCTAAACCCTTGGCCACCGCCATTGCCATCACTGAACTGATGATCAGGTGGAGTCAAGCTGCTGCTGGTACTGTTGTTAGAAAAGAAGCTCAGGTTGAAGAGATTTGCAGCACTAGTTGATGAGGGAGAGTTGTTGTTGTTACCGTTGCTGTGGAGATCAGGAAGTTGCATTAGCCCATGCAATGCTGCCTTGCTGGGAAATTGGTGCTGATCCTGAAAGCCTTGCTGGTTAGCAATATCTCTCATGAAGAAATTGGAGGAATTAGGCATGGCTTGTGATCCGAAGGAAGAAGGATTTGATGGTGTGATTAGATGCTCATATTTTGCACCACCAGCATTTCCTAACCTCAACATGTTGTTGGGCAGGTGGGTCTGATTTTGAAGTGAGGGAATTTGGGATAGGCCTAAGCTCATGTGGTTGTTTCCATATAGTTGACCACCCATGGTGTTTAAGCTTGAAGGATGCCTTGCACTCTCCTGAGCCAGTGCATCGCAGAATGCCCTATGCGTGATAAAGCTGTCGCGCCTATATATCACAAAGAAATGAAAAGAAAGGCTGAGCCAGTGCATCATCCTCATCTCATGTGTGTACATATATATGAAGTAAGATGTTTACAAGGGAAGAACAAGACATCATATTATGTGGGGTTAAAAACAATACTTGAAGAATAATAATCATGCTTACCGGTTTTAGTTAAAATTGTGATGTATGCATAAACGGCAAAAGGATTTACCCCGGAGTTGAATTTCTGTTCTTTTTTAAATATTTTAATTGCTATTTTTCAACCTAGTGTGTTCGAAAGTCAACTTAATGGATCTCCCCCCCAATGAGCTTACACACGAGATCAATAGTACCAAAAAAATAAAATCCTAAACTACTACGTACATGAAAATAATTGAGACCGTAAACGCTGCATGTCATGTAATACTAAATTTTGCTTATAAAGAAAGGAAAAGAGCAAACAAAATTTCACTAGAACCGGAAAAGGGAAAACCAATGAGATTCCTATTAGTCATAATGCTTTCTCTCTTCAATCAAGAAATAGGAAAGAAGTACAGTGTTAGTTGAATTTTTTTTTCTCCTCCAATAAATGCGAAACCCTTGAACTTTCATTTGTTTTATTAATTTCCACAGAGAATATTTCCATAACCAAGATAGACAGACCCAAATTCACAAACCTCATCACCCTAATCATTGAACACTCTACCACTCTGACTTCTAAATTTTCAAAAACTGTCAAGCTTTTTGCTAGGTAGAAAAATGTGGTGTTGGACTAGTACCCAGAGAGAGAGAGAGAGAGAGAGAGAGAGAGAGAGAGCATCTTTGGTCCCATGAGAGATGAGAGTATACGTTTTAATTTCATGGGAAGGAGTACCAGGAAGAGGAGCAGAGCAGAGCTGTAGCTCTGATCTGAATAGATGAAGCCCGCCCAGAAGAGAACAAAAACTCATGAGTGACATATATATATCTCCAAATCATTATAAGACAAGAAAGCTAAAGCAAGCTCTAGCTCCACTAGTCCAGTGCAGTAACCATTAATATTATGCTTCCCTTCCCTTCCAGATGTATCTTGTGTGTGTATAATCAGACTCACTGCTACTGTATCTCCACACGTGAGTGGGGCAAAACATATATATGTACATGGTGCCAAGGCCACCCAAGGGCGTTGTTTTCGAGGATCCATCCATACATAATCAAGATAAGCAAAATTTCTTCTTTTTCCTCTCTCTCTCTCTCTCTCTCTCTCTCTCTCTTAAAATTTGATTTTCATTTTGAAACCCGTATATATATGGTAGAGTAGACATTGCCAGTTTCACACAGATTACTCACGTGTAAACAGTCCTGCCATATTAACCCAGACACGGACACACTCACACTCTCGCAGAAAGACCCAAAAAAGAAAAAGTTAATTTGTTTAACTTCATCATTTTCCTTTTATTTAATTTTTCAATTTTTGAGAACATCTCTCAAATTAATGAACGAATTAATGGATGAATGGATGAATGATTGAAAATACCTTGAGAAGAGAGTGCCACAATCGCATCTGTATTCCCTAGTGCCGCAAGTCTTAGAATGGGCCTTCCAATCCGATTGCACGGCGTACCTCTTGGAGCACTTCTCGCACTTCCATTTCTTCTCGCCATGTTTTCTAGAGAAGTGTTTTTTGATGCCGGTGAGGTCGCCGAGAGCTCGAGAGGGGTCATGGTGGACGCATGTGGGTTCGGGGCACAGGTAGACCTTGCGTCTGGGTTCTTTTGTGGTCTTCTGCTTGAGCTTCCAAGGCAGGTTGTGTCCTCTTCTGTGGAGCTGTAGGTTTTGCTCCCTTTGGAACCCTTTGTTGCACACCTCACATATGAACCTGTTTGTTGCCATTAGCGTCTTAGGAGATAGTGCGATAACCTCTGCATCTGGATCTGTTATCAAAATTAATGCCAAAACCAAATTAACAATTTTTCTTTTAACTTGTTTCGGTTCAACACCAGAATTACGGAAAGAAAAGAGCTGGAAGACAATGATTTGTAAGGAGAAAAATTAATAATTAAGAGCCAAACGGAGGAAACACAAATCCATTTTATCACAACCGAAGAATCAGTACATAAATTTAGGGTTTCTTTTCTGAAATTTGTCAACTGATAAAAAAAAAGTAGATACAAAAGAATTGATGTAATTATATAAAGAGATACTTACTTGGATTTCCAGGTTGATTTCTCCTTTTCTTTTGAGGGGGTGGGGCTACGGCTGCGGCTGTCGTATTAGAGGAAGGCGTTGCGGAGGAATGCTGTTGTAGCGTGGACGTCATCTGGCCTTGGGTTTCTTCTCTGCTACCAGTGCTTCCGAAAAACGGTATTGATGAAGAAGCAGCCGCCATGTATATACGGTGAAGAAAACAAGTAATATTCTTAATTCAACACCGATCTTGTTTCGAGCAACTCAAAGAAAATTTGTGAAGTGATAGCTACAATAAAGTAGAACACTCTAGACATACAAACCTAGCAAGCTAAGTAAAATAAAAGTTGTGAGTCCAAGGTCCCTTAATTGCTAGGCAGGTAGGTAGCTTGAGAAATACGACCCACAAATACAAATCAAGGGAGGAAAGAAATTAATAAGTATCTGCAGGTGGGGGGAAAGGGAGGTGGCGACAGCTAAAATCCGGAAATGATGAAGATAGAGAGAAGAACCAGAGTCAATCCGGAATATATGTGCAGGCCAGCTTCTTCTTGCTCTCTTAGCTCTCTATGTATCAATCTATCTTGTTTTTAAAATGAATAAAAACGGATCTGCTAAAACGCTCTTATTGTTCCTCTCTCAATCATTTCATGTCATGTACATACACAACACACATACATACATGTCCTAGCTAGCTAGCTACGCATCTCTCTCTCTCTCTCTCTCTCTCTCTCCCTTGTTTTTTGTGTTTTGATTTTGCTCGTCCTTTTCTCACTGTAAATTAAAATAATTACAGATATTAAAAAAGAAAAGAAAATTATCGAATGGAGAGAGAGAGAGAGAGATAGAGAGGAGGGAAGCTGGGGTCGCTGTTCATGCAGCTCACGCAGCCTAATGTGTGTCGTTATGCGGCGATTGTAAGTGGGGCCAGCTTTGCTCACTCTCAAGGCTGAAGGGTGAAGAGTGTAGGGTGTAGGTCTTACCCTCTCCCCATATCTCTCCTTCTCTTATTTCGTATCTTCTACCTTCGCATCCAGACAACCCTCCCTTTCGTCACTCTGCGCCCATCATATATGCTCTCTCTCTCTCTCTCTCTCTCTCTCTCTCTACGTTGTAACTGTGCAATACAAATGCTTGACACCTTTCAACATTGATGCCATGTTTCTTCATATGGTTGATCAGACGGTCAACATGATTATATTAATATTATGTGAGTCCTAGCTAGCATACTTTAATCATACATGTCCTAAACCCTCTGTCCACATCGTTTTTAAACAGACTATGTACTCAGGACTCATCTTAATATTGTTTCTTATTAATATTTAGGGTAATTAAGAACGTGTAAAATTATGTGAACGTCCTGTTAAATTTGTTAGGTTAGAACTATTTTCTTTGTTAGAGAAATTTGAATAGCTAGGAAAAAGAAAGAACAGTATTACATCTGGCTAAGCAGCAGTAAAAGTTTAGCTGGAAGAGGACATTTTATGAGGCGGATTCTTACAAAGATGTACGGACCTAGGTCAGTCTAGGGAATTTTCTTGATTATTAAGTGACGTTCCACACGGATTAATGAAGTACTTGCAAGTTGCATGTGTCTATGTCTGTCACGACCGATTTCAATTAATTTATACCATGAAAAGAATTTCTTCCGTAGAGGAAGGTGATCGATCCATCTCTGCAAATAATTGAATAATACTGAATAATATCTTCCCCCACTATCTTAAAACGTGAAGAAATATACTTGAACTAGCAAAGCAGCCACTCAAAAGTGGAACTCTTGTGACTCTACTTTGTTGTGTTCTAACAAATATATTCCACTCATTAATTTTTTATTTTTTTTAAATACAACCGATAGTATAAACTGGAAGAGGATGTGAGTTTCTCACACACATACATTACCACGGTGTCATGGGGGTTCGAACATGAGACCACTAACTGATCTGTAATAAGTAAGTTAAGGCCATTTTTTCACTGAATTACAAGTAAGTTAAGGCTCTTTTTTACTGATCTGGGATAGTATAATGATATTCTACTAGTTGTTTATTGAATATTGTTAAGGACAGATTTGGATATCCATAGCCTCTATAAAAAGCCTTTTCCCCCTTTTCTTATAAAAGAGCAAACATACATAATTAATGCATGTATAACTGGCTAGCATCTCTTGTTGGGTTTCAAAATTTAACACACTTACGTACATGTGTTTGAATTGAAATTGGGGAATATGGGGCAAAAGGTTAAAGCTGCAGAAATGCTTCAACGAACGCTTTTCTCTTAGTTTGGTCGCTTGCATTTTGATTTGAGAGTAGAATTGTTGGTACCTGCATGCAGAGGAAGCTTCATTCAGTTGCCTTACCCATCTACAAAAGGTGGCCGTCTTTTTTCCTTTTTCTTCCTTGACAACATGTTTCTGGGGGAAATAGACAATCTTTGTTGGGTTGTGGAGCTATAGAGAGCCAAATTCTTTGGTTATTTCCTCTGTCAACTTCAGTGCATGACTTTGCTAGCTTTAGTCATGTAATATATAATATCAGACCTCTTTATTCCCTTTATGCAATAATGTACATGTTGAACAATACACATGCATAGGACCAGAAGAATACATCCACCAACACAATATTTTCTAAAAATTGATGAAGGAAAGAAAAAAGCGAACTTCCTCAGGAGGAGTGAGTCAGGGGAGGGGTGCTGCTGCTGTCCTTAAGAGGCCCTTTTAGGACGCATAGCATAGCATCGCACAGTAGGACCCACATCTCTTGGACATGGTGGGCCACCATGAAATTGGAAGGAAGGGACATGATTTGCTTGGGTCAAAAAATTTGCCATTCTTGGTCAAGTTAGGAGGGATCGTCCCAGGTCATTTCTGGTCAAATTGATTCTTGTGTAACCACTAAATCCAGCTATATATATTTGTGGACTCCCCCATCCATGAATAAATAAAAGACTAGCACTAGTGGCCGCTGATAATTTGTCACCACCTAATTATTATGCACATAATAATAAAAATAAAAATACATGTAGCTGATGCCTTGTCTGGTATGGGCAATTATGGACATAGAACCACATATACGTATGCATTATGCATTATGCATATGGTGGAGAGAGAATTTTACTTAACAATTATTCGTTGGTTGAACTGATTTTAAGGTTTGATCTTGTGATGTATTCCAATTTCCAGGGTTTTGCTGCAGCCTGCAGGGCTTGGTTTGGCTGTGTCTTTTATTAAAGTCATCACCCCAAATGGATCAAACCCCAGAAGAAGCTGTTGAAGTCTCAAACAAAATAATTTTATAAATGATCGATACACAGACACAGACACAGACACATACATGTCATCTCGAATTGATTACTCATTGTATGAATTCTATTCCATTCACGTGGATGGAAATTGGAATTATCAACTCCCTTGAGGTTTAGCTCCTCCTTTGGCTTTGCCTCCACTTGACAGAAAAATAAAGGTAAAAAACAACAAAAATTCCATTGAAAATTCGACAGTTAAGATCACTTACCCAATGGCTGCCTGATGAGCTCCATGTTTGGCATATATACGGTACCAATGGCTGCCTGATGGGTTCCAGGTTTTGTTCTAGTTCTACTCTGACTTTGGGATATCAATCTTATTTTATTTTCCGATAAAAAAACAAAACTGCATGCGACATTTTCAAAATTTTCCACACGGTTTGAGTTTCCTTTATGAAGGAAAAATCCTTTTCCTCAGTTAATTTAAAATCAAATACTTTCCACACGGTTTTGGCTTTCTTTTTCAAACCAAGTCCCGTGAGACACATTCTCTACGTTATCGTCTTGGCAAGTTTCAGATTACGTCTTTTGTACCTATTTTGTTCTTCTTAAAGAAATAATATGCGTCGGTAGCAACTTCATTTAGGATATTATATATTGCTGTATTCACATGATCTTACAATTTGTTACAACTTAAAAAAAAAGGACAACAGTCCACAACAAATTCTGAATAATCAACATAATGACAACAACCCACATTCCAAATTATTAATATAAAATCCAGCTTTCACTGTCATAAGCAGTGTATGCTATATATATAAATACATAGTCATGTTTAAAACAGTATATACTTGCAATAAAATAAAGCTAAACAAGATTTTCCTTTGATTGTCATGACTCATAATGAATATTCTTCCTCACTCAAAATTAATATTCAATTCTATATGTATTGGAAAAATTAATATTCAATTTTCCATGTCAATTCTCTATGGGGTCCAAATTCTGCGTAATCTTCTTGAGTTCGTATGAATGCACTCCACCACTCCAAACATCTCTCGATTAATGCTTATAATGGATAAACATAATAATCAAAAATTTGTAAAACATGGAAGCTAATTGAAATTTCATGTTATTAACAGCATCTACAATGGGCTCCATAAATCACATCCTTAGACAAATTTTAGGATACTTCAATCATGTTCCTTATTCACCTCTTAAAATATGGAGGCCTCTAGGAGCTCATAAATTTGAGAAAAGAGAAATGACTCCTAATGGCTCCATATAATTTAATGTTGCTTTGTTTAATGCATATTTTAAATTTTTAATTAATGTTAACAATTTATATATATATATATTTTTTATAGAGATGAACCAATCATATTGAATTAAAAAATAATTATAGTATTTATGACCCCCTAAAATAATTTTTGTGTGTTTTTAGTTAAATTTTAATTTAAAAATAAAGAGTATGATTGTAGCAAAAATAAATGGATAGAGAGAGGGAACAAATTAATGAATCGTGGTGGGTCATGTCTATCTTTAAAGAAGGAATTTTTGCGGTTTGTGGGGATTGCCGGTGGCCTACGGCGATGGAGTGACATGAAAGTGATGAAGTTGACAAACTCCGTAGGGCCAGTGGGCCACAGGAAAACAGGCCCACCCACGGGCCCGCAGAAAACCACAGCCCTTCTTCTTCCTCCTCCTCTTTCTTGTTCCTGCTTCGGTTTGCAAGTCTTCTTCTTGGAAGGAGCTGTGGTGGGTCCCAGCCGTACCGTGAGGAATCGTTGCCGGCATATATATCATGTATATGGACAGCATATAAGACAGGCCCCTCGCCTCCCCATGCCGATGCCCTCCTCACTCCTCCCTCCTCCCTCCTTCTTCCAAATCCAATAAATATTCTTTTCCTACTAGGGTATCACAACTCCTCATCCTGACATGTGTTACTGTTATTTAATAATAATAAATATGATGAAAAGCTGCTTTAATTGTTTCCTAAATTATATTATAATGCAAGTCCTTTTTTCTTTCTTCTTAATTAACTTGGTAGTAAATTTGAAACATTTACCGCAAGCAATTAATCTAAAACGTTGAGAGATTGATCTGAATCTGATAATCAATTGACCATATGCATCATGCATGGTAATTAAGTTTGGGACTACTTCTCTAAGAAGCATTTTTGCTCATAAGCGCTTCTAACAAAAGCGTTCTTATTATATAGTTGTTGAAATTTTCATAAAAAATCGACGTGCTTCTTTAGAAAGCGCTTTTATGGTTAGAAGCACTTCTAAACTTTTCTACCAAACGTCATCAGAAGCGCTTTCGATTGTCAAATTGCGCTTTTAACCCTTCCAGAAGAACTCTCAAACGAGCCCTAAGTGAAATTAGGTTAATAGGGAGTGTGATAATGGAAAAGGCAGAGAATTGTGAAACATTCAAAATATTATAAAATACCATTGATATGCAAACATTAAGAATTGAAATTATTAATTAAATGAGAATAATATGGTAAATTCACACTTTTCATATTTAAAAAATTTAAAATTAAAAGAAAATTCAGATAATGGATCCTATTTTTATGGAACACAACTACCCATTATCTTTTTTAATTCTAAAATAAATTTAAATTTTAAAAAAAAGCCTGTCACAGTCCCAGAAGCAAGTGCTGAGAGGCTAGTATATATAAAGCAAAAAACAGAGAATGATGAAATATTCAAAATACCAGAAAATGCCCTTGGTTAATTCAAACATTAATAATTAAAATTATTAATTAAATGAGGATAATATGGTAAATTCACATTTTTTGTATAAAAAAATATAAATAAAAACAAAATCAGATAATAGGTTATACTTTTATGAAACATAACTATCCATGTTATATTATTTTAATTCTACAAATAAAATAAAAAATAAAACCAATTGACACATGCATGCGTGCCAAGACTCTAGTGTGTGTGTGTATATATATATATATATATATATATATATACAACCCCTTTTATTGAGGGATGTCCTTTAGGGTACTCTACAATTTTTTTCTCAATGATCCAAACCATCTATTTTTTAGGTCTTCATTCATAAAATCCTTACAAAAAATTAGACAAATCGGAAACCGTTTCAACATCCAATTGTGTCTTACAAAATCAATGAACACGATACTTTAAGAAAGTACTAAAATTTCAATAACTCAAATGAGTGGTCAAATGATATCGGATTCAAGTAATTTTTTGTAGAAATGATCTTTGAATGAGTATATACAAAATAGATGGTTTAGAATAATGAAATACAATCCGGAATGGGGCCTACAAAGGGTGTTCCTTAAATAAGCTTATTTGAGAAATCCCTCAATGAAAACTCTGTGTATGTGTGTATATATATATATATGTGTGTGTGTGTGGGGATTTGACCTAATTATGAGTCTTTGAATCTATATATGTATGACCACTGTGTCTGTAGGTAACGTAGCGTAAAAAATTACAAGTTTATTTGTTGTGTATACAGAAACATATGCATGGCAAATCCAAATTGGCAAAAGGCGTGAAAATTAAAATAGCGAGGCGAGAAAGTGGGGCGATCGAGATGGACAAGACAGAGGAACATGTGATTTGCCTGGTTGATGCATGTGAGTGATGGTGACAAGGGGGAGGACACGTGGTGAGGGGTCATGTGTGGGTCCTATTCCTTTGTGGCTTTCTTTTGGATGGAGCATAAAGTAGAGACATGCTGTGACTGCTACTAGTAGTACAACAATTTACAAAGGGGTGGAGGGAGGGGGAGGGACCTGCACTGCACTGCATGCCCTAGCTACCTCTCTCTCTCTCTCTCTCTCTCTCTCTCTCTCTCTCTCTCTATATATATATATATATATATATATATATAAATTAAAGGTAGGTAGCTGGGGTGCTTGCTTGTAAGTTGTAATGTAACATGCACGTTTAAATAGTATTAATACTGTAAAGGGCAAGATAACAAAAATCCAATTTATTCTTTGTAGGGCTGGAAGGAGTACAGCCAGCCAGCAGTGCCGTGGTGGTAACCTTCCCTGGAGCTAGAAAAGGGGAATTCACGGGCTACAACTACCACTTGCGAAAGGGAAGGGACCAAAGCAAAGATTCACCTGCGCAGAGAGAGAGAGAGAGAGAGAGAGAGAGAGCAGTGTGTGTGTGTGTTTTTTTTATGGATGCAATGCAACAATTAGTATCTCGTAAAGGAATTTTCATGTCAAAATGACATACCAACTAACAACTTTTGCTGCCTTCCTCTTACTTTCCTTTCATTGTCCACACTCTCAATTATACAAATATTATACATGTCTTTTAACTTTTAACATAATCCACTAATAGTACTACTCTTCGTCTAGTCCTTAATTTACAACCAACCAACTTAATTTGTCACATTGCTTAATCTACTGTATGTTTTTCTTCATTTCTTTCATTTTACCCAATAATTTAACATACTCTCTCTCTTTCTTTGTAATTAACTTATCATAACTCATTAATATCTATTTACCCTTTAGAGGAGGAGGAGGTCATTTTAATTAAGTTAATTAGGGTGATAAGTGTGACATGCAGATGCAGTGGAGTGTTCATATGTCATATCTGCCTGCCTGCCTACCTGATTGCTGTCATTCATTCATTCATGCAGCTGGTTCAACTCAATGATCATGTTAAACTAAAGTCCCAACCCTTCTCGATTACAAATGAGATTAGAATAATTTGAGTTTGGACATGTACAGTTGGATTGGCTCAAGTTATAAATTTAACTAAAACCAACATTTACATTTATCATAAGGAATTCGTTATATGGTAAGGGTGTCATATATGGATAATAAATGTGAACTTTCATATTAGCCACAAGATTCATGTGAATAGTAACTTCACTTAAGTTTAATGAAATGATCGTGTGACTAATATGAAAGTCCACATGAAGGATCTATATATGGCACCCTCACTATAGAATTTCGCAACCATAAGGAATACTAAGAGCATCCACAATAGGCTCCCTAAACCACCTCCTAAACAACTTTTAGGGAAAAATTGAAAAAATACAACTCCAACCATGCTCCCTATCCACCTCCTTAAATAGGAAGACATCTAGGAGCTCCTAACTCTAAGGAGAGAGAAAAGACTCATAGTGGCTCCCTATAATCTAATCATGATTTGTTTTATGCATAGTTTAAACTTTTAATTATTTTATTTTTTTATGGAGATGGACCAATCATATTGAATTAAAAAATAATTATAGCATTTATGACTCCCTAAACTAGGAGAAATTTTTATATGTTTTTAACCAAATTTTATGGCTCCTAAAAATAATTATAGCATTTATGGCTGTACTCCTAAAATAACTTTTATATGTTTTTAACCAAATTTTAACTAAAAAATAGAAAGTATGACTGTAGATGCTCTAAATCCAAGGCCAAACCGTTCCCTGATTCCTATAATCTAAGACCCATTTAAGCTTCAGTCCGATGCCCTAAGCCTGCGAAAACCAAAAGTCAATTGGGCTAGGATGTTTGATCCAAAAACCGACCCCAATAACCCAAATTACATATTTGGACCAGATCAATAAACTCAGATTGAACTCCGAGCGAAACTTGCTCAATACAATCCCTCCAAATTCATCATCGTTGCCTAGTGACGATGACTTTTAATTGCTACAAGAATATTTGGGCCAATTTACACCCGTATAGCGTACCAACCTACAACTATGTATGGTTTTTTCTTCAAAATCCTAACTAATACAATGGACCTCTCCTATAAGGTGAATAGAAAATAAATTACAAAGATCTTCTGCTGCAGTATCTCTTTCAGCGGACTCTCTGTAAATGTTCTAAAATCTTAACCAAGCAAAAGTTTCGATAATATCTCTCCCATGGTCTTCTCGGATGTTTCGCCTTCATTATCCATCTCCAAGCCAGATTCCAGGACTGCAGCATCTAGCACTAACTTCCTTTTTGCAATCTCATAAACGTTTTCATCAACTGTACCCTTGGTGACTAGCCTGTTAAAGCACATAAGCAGGTTAGAGATCTGCATTCACAAATTCTAGTTTACAACACAGACAAATACCGCAGAACGAAGGGAGAGAGATGGCTTTTTTTGGGGGGGGGGGGGGGGGGGGGGGGGTGTGGGGGGTTGTGTGTGCGATGATGCTTTTCTGACAGGTAATAGGTGAGGAGTGGAACATTGGGACATTGAAGGGGGAGCAACCTGTATATAGTAACAGGCTTCACTTGGCCAATGCGATGACAACGATCTTCAGCCTGTCGATCAATTTGTGGGTTGAAATCCATATCATGAATGACTACAGTATCAGCTCCAGTCAAGTTCAATCCTTGGCCTCCAGCTCTTGTAGACAGCAAGCATGCAAATATAGATGTGTCGCTGTTGAATGTATCAACTATCGTCTGTCTTTCAGTCACCTGAGTACTGTCATTTGGAAGATACAGACAAGAAACACAACTTATAGTACAAATAACAATTCAAATTAACCACAATCAACAGCTATATATTCAATTGGACCTGAGCAAGTCAAATAATATAATAGATATAGATACAAACGATCTGTAACTGTGACATAAGTACACCAGTACCTTCCATCAAGTCGTCTGTATGTAACCCCTATCACATCCAATGTCCACTCCAAAATATCAAGCATTGACGTCCACTGGCTAAAAATAAGAACTCGATGCCCAGCTTGCTTCAGTGAAGGAAGAAGTTCAGCCAATGCCTAATATCATTGACAAGAAAACCCTTCTCAATTTTGAGCAGAAAGTATCACCGAACATTCCTATCCAAATTTGTTAGAAAATTTATTGAAGTAAACATTATACCTGAGACTTTGCTGCAAGCATAACATATTTGTCTGGAAGAAATCCTTTCTTATCAGTGACACCATGATACAGTAAAAGCTGCAGAGAAAGAGAGAACTTACATCGCATCAGGATAGAATATGCAATCTGCTACAACTACTAATTACTGGGAAATTCACTGAGGAGGAAAATATCATATTCCCATGCGGCATGAATACTGCTTGTTTTGAATGGCAGTACAAAAAAGAGGAGTCCTTGTGCAGACTCATGAACACCTGAACCATTTCAATATCTGTACATATATTTACAAATATACACACACTTATAATATACAAAATAGATAATCCAATCATTCCAATGGATTAATAGTATAATATAATGCTCGAAATAAAAATTCATTTTTAAGAAGTTGAAAAAATACCCGATGGATAGAGAAGTCACTATAACTGTTAAGTTCCCCAATTACTTTGTCTAAAGTACACTCAAAGCCAAATGCACCCATTGGATGTAACTTTCTGGCAAAACGAACAACATCCTCATCACTGTAAATACGCCTTACTAGTAAAGGATGATTTGCAATCTAGACAGCGGGGAAAGGAAAAAAAAACAACAATAAGCACAAGATATATGTAATCAGAACAAAAGAACTGGGATACCAAAAACATGATAAATTGAGACAGCAGCACCTTACGAAACTGAACAAAATAGTTGGAGATCTGCCGCCGGGGAAGAACTCCAAGGATACTGTTCGAGTTAACCTCTGAGGTTTTTGCAATACGAGCTTGTGAAGCTGCACGATACTCCTCAATGGCTTCTTTATAGGCATCTGCTTGCTCCTTTTCCATGACAACATACTCAACCTGCAGTGCATTTCTCAGCTTCTTTCTAAAATACAAAAGAAATAACCAACAGATAGACTTATATTTTCTATAAGTAAGAGTAATGAAAAACTCCACAATATGAAAAAATAAGAACCTACGCATAAACTAATAACATACCCGCTGTATTTTTGGAACAAGTTGTTGCATAACATCAGATTTTAGGCGTCTCAAAATAAATGGTCCCAATATGGATTTCATACGGCCAATCAAATCTCTATCTTCAGCACTTAATAGCTTTTTTAAGTCAACATCCTCAGTAGTGAAAAGATCTGGCATCATAAACTCCAGCATAGACCAGAGCTCCTGCAAAAACCCATAAATCATTAACAAAGAAATTTCTAAGAACTAAAATACAAGTTCCAATATAAAATCAATAGTAAACATTATTGACTGATGCAATTCCACATCTTCTAAACTCAATTTTTTTATATAAAAAAAAATTGATATATCATGTTTACAAAATGAAAGAGGAAATAAGTAAGTAACATTCTTGATAATGTATCCCCAACCCAAGGGATAATTTAACCTCACCTCAGCAAATGTCCAAACCCACATCCTCAGATGTAATCCTAAAATTCAGATAATTCAATCACACTAGATCATGACCATCCAAAACACTTTATTATATCCTTGTCTTCCCTCGATAGGAATCAGATTCATCAATTTCATCATATTCTAATCTTCCCTTGGTAAGATTGCAATGCAAAAATGCCAGTTTTCTGTTCATTGAATAATGTGGCTATTTAAGTAATAATCCAGAAGATTTCAAAGGGTATAAAGTAATACGTGTAAATCATTTTGTAGAGGTGTCCCTGTCAGCATTAGACGCTGGTTTGCACTTCGTGCAACAGACATTAGGTTTTTCCACCTGTAGCTATTTTTATCCTTCAAAGCATGAGCTTCGTCCATAAGCACACAACTCCATTGCCAACGTTTCAGAATTTTACGATCATCTTTCTGCTGTCCACTGGAAGACCATAAATTAAAGGAATTAAAATACCATAGAATCAAAATCACTTTCCACTATCCATATGGAACACCGAAACAAACCTGTGTCTTTCAAATAGTGAATAGCACACGAGAATAACATTAAAAGGAGGCGGCAATCCAGCTTTGGCCAAAGCGCTCAATTCTTTTGAATATGCCGATCGCGCAGCCCCATGATACTGGAGAACAGAAAATGACGGGCACCACTTCTTCAGTTCCCTTTCCCAGTTTTCCAAAACCGAAGCAGGACAGACAATCAAATGTGGACCCTGGTCGTTGTGTAAATGTTTCAATAACATCAAATATGTTATAGCCTGTTCAACAAGAACAGATATTAGAAAACTAAAGTTACAATTATTATTGAAACAGGCAAGGAGAATGGACCCCCAGGTACCTGAATGGTCTTCCCGAGACCCATCTCGTCGGCCAAAATGGCTGCAGAAAAATAAAGGATGTTAAACTGCTATGCTTTGAGAAGTGAGATTAAACCTAGCCCCAGACTGTAATATGCTTATACAATCATAAACCGAGCCTCAAAGGAAGATTGATAAACTTTCATCTATTTAAACGAAATCACTTAAATACAGAGCTTCTTATGCTAATTCAAATTACAAGCAGTTTCCTAGTTCTTCCCTAAATCGAGTCCCTAATGAATGCCCTATTTCCTGGCACAGAGCAAAAGAAAAGTACCTCCACTGATACCCTTTCGATACAGCAGAAGAAGAAAGTTAACACCAACCAGCTGGTATGGCTTGAGAATAGGTTGAAAGTCAGAATGGTCAGACCTACATGCCGCGATAATATCATCCTGCAACAACAAATCAATCACCATCAATTGCCAACGCCATTGAAAGCTGATAACAACTAGAAATGAAAATAATCACAATACATAACGAAAACAAAAAATCCTTCGCACAGAAACCTAAATTCAAAAATTTTGTTTTGCTTTTTTTACTTTCTTATACAGCCACATTCTCTTTCCCTGTAAATGTTCATCAATTTCCTAACCCAAGGAAACAAAGGAATGCCAACATTTTGAACCACATTTTCCACCAATCAAAATAACTAAAGGTAAGAGCTTTCCAACTCCATGCACCGTACAAGAAGAGTATACTAAAAAGAAGAAGATAAAAAATAGAAAGCACCTGAGTGACAATCCTCACAGAGGCAGCTTCCACTTCAGCATAACGATCAGACACAGCGGGAGCCGACGAGCCATGGAGCTCCCTTCTCAAATCGGCCGATATTTTGGCACACTTCTGCAAAGCCTTGCCAACCACATCATCCTCCTCCAACTCCTCTGCCTCTTCTTCTTCTTCTTCTTCTTCTTCTTCTTCTTCTTCTTCACTCGTTGACTCTATATTAACCCAATCTCCATCGCTCTCCTCGTCCTCGATGACGAACCGACGGCCAGGTTTGACGGGCCTGATAACCTGAACCTCGTCGACGTCGTCGTCCTCCAACTCATTTTTAATTTCGACGCAATCATCATCGTCGTCGGAGAGTTGTTGGGGCTTGGGGGAGGACGCTCGGAAGGCGAAGGACTCAATTGGAGGCGGCGTTGGGGTTCGAGGTTTCTTGAGGACTCGAGAGGGCTTGAAGGAGGAGGAATGCTCCTCCCACTCGTCGTCGGAGATTTCGAAATCGTCGAGACCGCGCTTCATATCATCGTTTTCAAAAACAAAAAAACCCAAAGTGAAAAATGAGAAGAAGCCCTAATTAATTAGAAGGAGGAGTGAGTTATGGTTTTAATGGTACTGTTAGTGGGTGCTGAGAAGAGAAGAGAAGAGGAAAGGAAAAGGATCTTGAGGGAGCTCTCTCTCTCTCTCTCTAGTGCTCTACTTCGGGAGTGCAAGTGTCAAGGACGCCAAAGACCGCCATTTCTTTCGGGATATTTGCCTTGCCCCCTTCTCTGTTGCATTTGCTTCGTCTATTTTTTTATTATTAATTAATTAAACTAGAATGCCTTTATTTTATTTTCTCAGAAATGCATTTCCGGATGTATAATTTTTTTAAAAACTTTGTTGGACCAAACTACCCATTACAAAAATTAAAATGAAAACAATTCTCAGCTTCTAATTAATTGACTAGCTTCAGGCCGAAATTTATAATCCTTTGGGCTAACGTTTGGGTTTGCAGGAAAAGTAGTTGGATCTATAGCGTGATCGAGAAAGTGCTTATGGGCCTCTTCACTTGCTCTGCTGTTTTGAAAGCATGAGGTTGGGCTTTTCATTTTTAATGTAATAAATCGACTTTGGGCTTTTTAATTAAAAAATCAACAACAACAAATATCTGATACAAGTAAAATTATACTTTAATTTATATATATAAAGTAAAAGGCAAAGAATGGTGAAACATTCAAAATATCAGAAAATATCATTGGTCAATTTAACATTAAGAATTGAAATTATTAATGAAATGAGGATAATATGGTAAATTCATATTTTTTATATTAAAAAAAATTAAAATTAAAAACAAAATCATATAATATGTCATACTTTTATGAAACATAACTGCCCATATTATCTTTACTTAATTTAAATAAAAAATAAAACCAATGCATGTGCCAAAGGGCTAGTATGTCTAATCTAAATTACTAGGGGACAAAGTTTAAGTGAGGAGAACATCGGCTCTAGTCAACTTAGCTAAGCTCATATATGCTTTAAAAAAAGAATAATGATACTCTTACCATATTTGTATACCACATCCCTATACCATCTTATGTGGCAGCTGCGGTGGACAGCCCCATCAATTAAAATCATTTAATATTTTCTTTTCTTTTATGATTTATTACAATATTTGTTTTTCTAATTGTCTTCATTAAAATACACTTCATTGATTTAATTGATGTGACATATAATATGGATATGCCACATCATGTGGTACAGAAATGTGGGATAAAAAAATGTGGTAAGTGTAGCATTACTCTTTTAAAAAAAGGAAGATTTACTATTATACCAAATATAGGAGCCCAAATTATAAATATACTTTATAAGAAATGGACTTTAGAAACACAGCTAAAGTTCATTTACAACATAACAAAAAGGCTTTTAACTTCTTTTAAATTACAAAATTGCAATTGATTTCTTAAAACAAACTCAACCCCAAAATCTTATATATAAAAAAGGCATAAAACACTTAATAGGGTATCAAAGTAATTTAATAATCAAAATTAAATTCAATATGGCCAACTGTCATTTTTTGAATCTTTTTTGAGTTGTTTATGGAAATAAAATGGTGTAAAGTTTATCTATATTATTAGTTCTAAGAATGGGTATATGACTAAATATCTCTAACAAAACGAATTTATGAAATGAGGATGCAAGAGAAACACATTCTAAGAATGTTTGACCAATAAATAAAGAAATAAAATTCTAAGAACGTTAGCTGACAACAAGATGCAAGAAAAACACTTGTGTGAAATGAGAATAACATTATTTTGTTATTCCCGGTCAATCACGTCATGCCGTGCGCTATAACTTGTCCACATGGTAGTTTGTTATTTGATGAAAAGACAAAATAGTATTACCTCCGTTTTACACAAATTTTTCTACAAGATAATGGCCACCAACAGATAATGAGGATTCAAGCAAATTCTTGCAGTCAATTTGTTGCCAACCCATCCATGTATCATTCTCGTGACACTTATTTTCAGTTTTTATTATTATTTATAATTCATCTAAATTATATATTTAAGGGGTGATTATAACGAGGGTAATACAGATTTTTTTCCTTATGGTAATAAATGTTAAGCGATGCCAATGGCCATAAAGAAAATGAGAAAATGAAGCATCCTACGAGATCTTCTTCATCACCTGGAAATAAAATTAGGGGGAAGGTATCTACTAGCTAGTACCATTGTTCAAGCATTTGAAATGCTTTAATTTTTCTGTTGATTCCCTTGAAAAATTTAATATATAATTAAATTCATAGCTAGAGACATGATAACGGTGATCATCGTTCAACGACCATGAGATTGCAGGCCTGCTTCTACTTTGGCCATCAAAAAGGCACTAGTCAAACTCGATATAGTTATAGCACTACCAGTAAAAAATTAATAATTATATAATGAGGTTTTGAATGGTTTGGTCAGCCACTGGGATCACTACTAGAAAATTGAGTAGAAGCCACCGCATCTAAATGGTCGCCATTGCTGATGTAATCGCCACAATTACTGTACATCTATCGCACCAAATACATGGCCACGATGTATTTGTGGCTGAAAAACAATTAGACGCAGATGCTGAGACAAAATGATACTTATTTTTCAATTATTACACATAGTCACAATCAATGTCTAATGTCAATTCATTCTTTCGATCTTCATTTATGGATCATTCTTGCAAGATAAAAAGAGATAAATGTTATTCCAAAAAAAAACTAAAATGATTATTTTCTAATCAAATGGTTGAAAAATTTATAATTTTGTGTAGAGATAATTATGAAGCAAGATCATTTGAAAATTAGAGGGTGGGATCAATAAAATGCAATGTAGAAAGAGTCTCCTCTAGCTTTCATTGAGAAGAGCACCAATAACATGTTGAAGTGCACCACCACTCTAAGTTTTGCACTTTATGCTCATCTCCGCTTTGACCATTGCTTCCTTTGCATTCACTTTTGCACCTTGTCAACTTTGATAGGTTCTAGAAATAATCTTGTATTTTCATGCGATGAGCTGATGAGGACAAAGCAAAGTGATGAGTGGTGGCCAACTTGCAAGTGCTAACTCCTCCACCAATATTTCGCATTCAACGATTTGGTGATCGTTCTATAGATCATTGAGAAATGGAGAATATATACAGTTTAGTCATACGTCATGAATCATGATGATTTTCAGTCATTCTAGCTACCGACTGTACTCTGGTTATTTTTCAACTTCCCATTTATATAATATATGTGAAATGCTAAAACGTGTACATAAAGAATTTTTAACTATAAGAAAAGTCACATATCTTAGGTATACATGGGGAAGAAAACCCTTTTTTCTTTTTTTGGGGTCGTATTTTAGGATATTACATTTTTCTAACTTTTCAACAAATAATATGGATACTTAATGTTGGGGGTTGTTGATGACCCATACTATCACTGTGAGCCGAACCCCTCAAAAGATACCATGTGACACAACATGCCAACACCTTTATACCGAGCTGATCAGGAATAATACCCTCGGCTTCAACAAGTAAGCCCCTCGGGAGGAATATGACGAATTAAGGGTGAGACTAATGATCGGGGGTTCAGGAACCGACCCGACCACTATGGCACCATGACCAACTAGAGATGCATTAAATGGAACAGTCTGGCAGGCAAGAAAGGTTGGTTTTTGCACATCCCATCCTTAACCAAGTGTCGCCTTACCCTTCGATCTCCGAATGGACAGGCTGGCGATGGAGAGGGATCATTTAATACACCTCCCATCCTTGTCCACCTGTTACTTCGCCACCTGATCCTTGTTAGAAAGTAGGATGATCAGAAACAGAACATTAAATGTAACTCAACCCAGGGAGATAGGAAAAAAGATCTTCTCCATAAAATATCTTGGTTCCTCCTTCCCCCCTCCTCTTATATATACTCCTCACCTATCTCTGGACAAAGATAATAAGTATTCTCACCTGGTAAACCCTATATCCAATTACTCCACCACCAAATAGCTTCTGACTTAACCATCGGAGGGGGCTGAACTGGGTTCAACCCCAGTTCACTCATGTTTTGATAAACTGCTCTTAGTGTGCAGATCTTCCACGAGGTACATCTCACCCATGAAGATTGTGGTATAAGCCCCAAATTGGATCCCTATCCAGGCCATACAATATATGCGGGGGATACGAGGTTTACAGGGGTTGACGTAAAATAAAAGAGTCATATATGTCTCTTCTCCAATAGATTCTGTGATAAGAGGAGAGAGATAAATTTATTTCACGTACATTCATTCTCCCAACACAAGAAAGAGATCGAATGGAAATTTATGGCAAAACTATAGTTCCCCTTGTTACACTAGCTCATTAGCTGTTGAACAATTTGAAGCAGCTAGGAACTTTAACTGGTTGTTCTTTTGCATGTGATTAGACTTTTGGGATGGGTTTCAGTTCTTTTACAAGAACTGAAGATAGTCAGATCAGAAAGAGTGAACCGTTGACTTTCCAAAATACAACCCACCATAATTTCACACATATCTTGATGCTCTGTAGCAATTAAGGTCTTAACATTTGATGTTACATCGAGTTCATATATCTTCTAACTATACAAATAACACACCAAAGTATTCTTCGATAATAATTCCGAGTTCTTAGAATAATAATTCCGAGAGATGAGTTAAGTCATCGTATCGTATTCTATGCATTTGGTCATCAGCTGATTAACACAAATATGTATGCATTATGCAAATGTGAAGTAGTAACTATTAATTAGGCCACAGCTGAATCTTAATCATAAGCCTAAAGCCATAATACAAGATAGTTGCTTCCCATTCTTTTGAGAAGATATAAACTTAACATGCATGCACTGAGGCTTTTTTTCTTTTTCTTTTCTTCTACACTATAACTATCACATTGACAGCAAGAAAATATGAAATATAAAGTACTCTTATAGTTTATCTATACAAACATCCTCTATAGGTTGGTGTCCAATAGTCTGATCCTGTATTCTCACGATAAACCTGAGGTGTGCATGAAATAGGCACCAAGCAAAGGCCTTTGTTCTTGAGGTCAACCTTTACATCTCCCTTGTGATCTTTTCTATCGGTCGCCCATGGATCCTAAAACCACCAACACTAATTGATTAGCATATATACAAATTATAAGCATGCTTGATATATGTGTGCGTGTGTGTATGTATATGTATACGCACGTACGAACCTTGTGTGAATTTGTCTTCAAATAAGGGCTACTCAATAGCTGCAAAATCATGGAAATGTAGCTTAGAGGATGTATATAACAATCTGGAAATACTATTTTCTTCGAGCGTAAATTGCAACAAGAGATCCCAAACAAATTATTAAAAAGAAAGATTATATATGATAATATACCACATGCACTTGGTCTTGCAGGAACTTGATGTACTGAATCGCTTCATATAGTACAGATGCAGTATCAGTCTGAAAATTAAACTAAATATAATGAATATATATATATATATATGATGATGAATTATGAAATAGAGAGTGTGAAAAACAAGAACTAATCCAGTTGAAATGAAAATAATAATTAGCAGGTTGTACATGTGTGGCTGATTTCTACTCACCTTTCCAAATGGAGACACGATTTGTTGAAGGGCAGTGATCCTGTCCCCGAGCTTGACTTTTGGTGCCTGCATCTGTCGATTCAATTTGTAAATTAACAATTCAAAAGGCAAAAGTTAATATTATTATATCCGAATTAATTAACAAAGATGAAGCATGATTTCTTTTGTCCTTTGCCTTTTTCTTCTGTATGGAGTACCTTTACAGACGATGAAACTGTAGAAGTTTCTTGCTTAGGCTTTTTCAAGACTGTTTCTGATGATGTGTCGTCCGTTCTTTTCTTCTTTCCTTCGTTTGCAATCCCTTGTCCTCTTCCGCTACTCACTCTTGTCTGCGTGTTATGCAAAGAAATTGAAAATCATTAAAGGTAAATTGACTTTAAGAATAAATTAATCACTTGATTAATTGAGCATACCGAGGAAGCTTGCTTCTTAGAATATTGATCGGATAAGTTGGAAGATTTGAAACAGGGCTTGGGTGCATGACTATCAACCAAGGCCGACTTGTTGCCTAATCGGCTACTAAAAGATATAACATCTGCAAAATTTCTGGCACTGGCACTCGTAGCACCGCATGAAGAATAAGAATTGGCCAAAAATGATCCATTTCCATACAAGTACTTGCCGTTATGGTGATCTGCAACCATTGCGTTAACGTTGTTGAGGCCAATCTGATATTCAATGCCATTATTATTATTACCAAACGACGGCGTTATTCCATGTAAAGCTCCTCCTCCTCCTCCTCCTCCTACACATGCAGCCTCAACCTTGCTACCATAACATGAAAATAAACTGGATCCCGAGTTTCTATTTGTAATATTGTTATTTCCCATCTGAGCATCACATGAAGTCGAATCGTTACTGATGAACGCTTGCGGCTTCAAGTAGTGATGGTGATCATGATCCATAACTAGCTGTGGTTCGGGGGGCGCAATGGACCAGGTGCTCACCAGATTTGACAGCTTGGTTAACCTTTCGTTCTCAATATTAACATTATTATTCATGTTGTTACTCTCCATAAACCCTCCATTTAATTGCTTTTCGAAACTGTTGAAATTATTCGATGCAGCTGAGACGTACTTTGTGAACTCCCAAGTACTGTTGTCCAGTTTCTTCAAGTAGTCACAAGCAGGTTCATACATGACATGATCAGTTGACAAGCTCTTGGACGACAGCGCATCGAGAAAATTCTCTCCAACATCATGATCATTGTGGTGTAAATCATTGTTTCCATTAACGCTTCTGCATGCACGGTTCAACCTTAAACATCAATTGATTATCACATATACAAGTTAACCTAAGTTTTTATGTGAAATCAATATCACCCTTTTAATTACTAGCTGCCCTTATTATATGAAAGTATATATCATACAGAAAATTTGGCTACTTACAAGAGAACATGGTTCCAAATATGATTGTCAGAAACCTGCTCTCCGTTGATCATATCGTTGTTGGGAGACGCAGAACGCTGATCAGCAACCTGCAGTCTGCGAGAGGAGTCAACGCTGAGGCTTGAGTGGTTGGAGGCATTGGTAAAGGAAGTGCTGGAGATTGAAACATCCTGGTCAACATCATCACAATTATTAGAAGAGTTGGAGTACTTCTGGTTTGGCTGCTGCGGCTGCCATGGGTTGATACCCAAGTTGCTCCATGAAGAGAGCTGAGAACCTGCTGCCCCTGCACCTGCAGCTGCATGGAGATCCCACCAGTTTGGTTGTGCTAGCTGTGGAGAGGAAGAAGAGATTGCAACACAAGAAGTACTTTCTCTGCATTCTTCGGCCATTTTTCTGAACTTCAATAATCTTTCAGTCGTTCTTTTTCTCTTTGTAAGTGAGTAATTAATGGCGGTGGACTGGAGATACTGTGTGTATGGTTGGTGGTGATTTTACTTGAGCTAGTCTTGTATTGCTTTAATTCTGAGCGGCTGGTGTGGTGGTGGAGGGTTTGGAAATAATTTTTCTCATGGGATTGGAATGGAGATATATATGAATATGAATATCCGTTGGGTGGTGACGTACAGGGTTGTAGGTTTTATCAAATCAATTATAGGGGAGACAATAAAATATGCACCCTCAGTATTTCCACTAACGTTCGTGGGTAATTATTAATTTATATACGGACATAGCTAGCTGGGCCACCAATACCCCCCAGACAGACCCAGAGTTTGGTTTAGTTTAGGGTTTCTTCTTAATGCCCTTCACTCATACAATACAAGGGGAGGAGTTTGGTTTAGGATTAGGGTGGAAGCCTGCATTGCATTTCTATTTATTTCTTTATTCACTAGCAAGCAAAATACCACATTCTTTTCGTTTGGATAAGAAGCATGACACGACACTGCTCACTCGTAAGCAAAATATATACCACATTCTTCTTTTATCCTGGGTGGTGGAACCATGATTTTATTTCCAAACAATTAATTTAGTTATACAAATCCATATATGGGTTGCAAATGAGACTTCTCTTAGCATCTGTGTCATGGATATGTTTGATAACCTTGTAATTTTGATTAAGCTTTATTTAATTGTATTTAGATAATACTAAATAACAATAACACACTAATTTATACTAATTACTGATGTTATTGATAAAAGCAAAGCTGTTGTCTTTCTCTTTCAAATAAGTATGGTACTTACTTTCTTTTAACAACCAAAGGGGTATAATAATGGTGCCCTTGACAAGCAAAGCCGGTATACGTGTGAAACGAGAATAATATTATTTTGTATATCACACTTTAATTGCAAACAGTAGTTTAATTTTAAATAATGTATTTATCAATGTACAATGTTTGGGTGTGAGTCTCAGAACATGGTCACCCAAAGGGGTATAATAATGGTGCCCTTGACAATAAAATGATATGAAATTTGCATAATAAATAAATAATATATTTAGTATCTTTTTACTTTATTGTGTAATTAATAAATCCGATCCTTTAAAATGAAAGGTGTTGTTTCTTGGCCTTTGCATACATGGTCTAGTTGGTGGGTGTTTTTATTAAGTGGCACTCTGCATCACTCTACATCAAAGTTCCACTTGAGAAATTTCCAACCTTTTTAATTTCCCTCTTCTTCCTCCATTAAAGGCCCATTGGCTGCACAAGGAAGTGAGCTTTTTGGTTTCTTCATTGTAACACGAATGACGGTGTGCAGTTAGTCTCACGTTAATTTTATAAGCTAATTAAATTCTAGCTTCAATATCATCCACCCAAATAATGTATCTTTTATTTCTTCTCTCTAGTCTCTAGGTTTGGAATGGAAAGTTTGATTAGGTGGGGACCAAATACATACCATAGGTTAGGCGGCGTTATATATATTTACTTAATAATTTGGTTCCTATTTAAACAATAATGACTTTGAAAAGTTCATATTCTTTTCTTTTAGAATTTAGTATTCTCAATTAATTGTTTTCTAATTTAATCATGGTGCAAAGATAAATCTTCTAGGACGAGGCATCTTTCTGGTAAAAAGATATGACTTGGACGAGAGAATCAAGCTTGCTGCGTTTGACAAGTTCTATCAACTAAGGATGGATATGGGTAAGATTTGAAAGAAGAAGGCTAACTCCCATTATGTAGTTTGTATCTTATTTATATGTGCAGTGAAGGTTTATTTTATATACACATACACACATGTAGATGGTTGCTTAATCGATATATTAACTTTAAAAAATATCAAAAGAAAAAATTAACCTATATATATGGGCTCGTTTGATAACTATTTTAATTTTAATTTTTAGTTTTCATTTTTTGTGCTAGAGTATAGAGAAAAATGAGTGTGAGGATGATATTGAGAGAGAGGATTAGAGGATAATATGAGAGGGATAAGTAACAAAAATGAAAACAAAAACTTTTAACTACTCTTTGACTAACATGGGCTATAGCCCAAGTGACTTTGTCTTTTTAAACCTAAACTGATATACCCATTCCACCTAATGAATAGCTCTGCACTGCACTCTCATAAACCCCCTTCACCTTTTTTTCTCTCTTTCTTTTTGGTACAAAGGGGGCCAAAGGCCAAACACAACAAACTCTTGTTTCTTTTATTTTTTTGGTACAAAACAACCCTTCTTATTTACTTTTTCTGGTAAAAAAATAACTCCCCTTAACTTCACACACTGCACGTAGAAAATGTAAAAGAACTATGTACTAGATGCATTTTGAGGGCTAAAACTCATTATGTCATCATGATAGGTGTAATCTTTTGTTATCAATGAATTTCACTTCGTATTGTCAAGTTTAATAACTATGTGCGCATAAGGTAAATTTAGTCCACCCCAATTTGAAATTCTAGTTCCATCCCTAATTCCATCTTCATTCTCATTCTCACTTCCATTCTTCTTTTTTTTTTCTACAATAGCGAAAAAATGAAAACTAAAAACTAAAATTGAAATGGTTATTAAACGGGCGCGTATATACATGCGCAAAAGAGCATATGCATTTGAAATTCCACCGTCAATATTATAGAGCCTTGTTCACTAAGTAACCAACCTCCTTTGTTTTGTATATAAGTGGTTTTTGAATCGATAATTCTTGAAAGATAACCTAAAAACACAGTTCTCATAATTAGTTTACGGTCTAAAAACAAGATAGTCTTATTCGAAGGAAAATAAAGACATCTTTTCTATAAAAGCCCCATATAGAACCAGGTTCTGGCCAAAAGTATTCATCATGAACCAGCTCTTGTTTCATGTAAAGTGAATGAATTGGAATAGAATGACTTTCTAGTTCAAAGCCAATCAAGATTTCCTCGTCGACATTCTTTTCCATTGGTATAATCTGCGGTATCTCCCCTTCTAAAGCTACATGCAATTAAGCCTTTAATTTTTGCTTTAGTGGAAACAAAAAGTCCGCTAACTTTTGTGTGTAACGAATAGATAAAACCTTGGTGGCTTTATACCTGATGCCAAAACCAACCAAGCAGAAATGGCCACTTTTTTGAAATTAAGATAAATTAATACGATAAAATCCATATAATTAAGCGTAAGCTTAGGTCGATGCACTGATGGTCATGGAAATTGAGGTAGCCAGTGAGATTGAACCTTGAAAGATTTTGTTAGAAATATATATATCAACAACAACCAATTCCAACCGTAGGATTCCGCCCATGTTGGAGAGATTTTGTTTGGGATTATCTTGCCATTGCCATCACAGTAACTACAGTTAGCAACTAAACTAATCTTAATTAAGCATATAAATAAATACGCTTAAAGTGAACCCGGTAAAAGTTAGGTGAATTAGATACACAACACATGAGCTTGAGTGCCTAAGACCCAAATATGATAAGAGGTCCATTAAGCATAGTGGCAGCCATTGTCGTTTCTAACTTTCCTGGACATGTTTCAATTGCTTTCCTGTGAGAAAGCTCCATCCATGGAAAGGGTTGCTCGACACATGTCATTGGAAAGCACGAGTCTCTTACTTTTGAAATAAATAGATTGGACGGGACAAACTAAATTCGTTCAATAGCACGCCACCTTTAAACAAATGAAATGGAAAAGGAGCAAATGATTTATTAATCAATTCATGTAAAGCACCAGAGGAATGAATAATATGTAGTTAAATATTAATTATTTGGTTTAGTGGTGCTCCTTCGTTTCTTTACATGTAGCCACAGCAACCTTTGCCAAGAAATTGTATAACGACACTGTTTCTCTCCTTACTTAAAAATCAAAGTTTAACATATATGCATCAAAAACATAAAAGGAAAAATCTCAACACACATATCAAAATGTGACTAACAAGAGGAGTTCATACTTTTAGAAAAGAAAGCAATTATTTTCCATTGTATTGTATAACACATGTTGACCTATTTAAGTAATTTGGTAGGGAGTGATTAGACACGACTTTCTATTAATTTATTAAAAGTCATTTTACTTGGTGTCAGATTTCCAAACTCTCTGAGTCATTCGAGTCCAACTCATCTACTAAAACAAAAACAAAAAACCTTTGATGGCGACTTCACAAATGTCAACTATTTGTTTTGATTTCAAATCAAAATCTCAGTGTTTTATAGTTCTTACTTTCCCATTAGATATGGTTTTGAAGTAATTAATTTTGTGGTTCGCGCACGGCTTTGGTCTCCTCCAATTACCACATGATGAAGTGCTCTGCGAGAGGAGAGTAGAGAGATGATTGCCTGGTTTACGTATCTGAACTTTCTCTTTTGGTTATATACTTTATTACACCAGACACACAGATACATCTGAAGAATATTGGTTTGTAATTGTGGCCAAATATATATATAATACTTGTGTTTTGTATTTCTCCTCAGGCATGTGTATGAGTCTCTGAGTCTATAAAATTTTGACTATCCTAATTAAAGAAAAGGGTGGCAAGAAAAGAATGCAAATTGAAACAAGTGGTTGTGGTTAAAAGGCAAAAAGGATGAATTTAGGCATTGACAAGCACACCAAACCAAACGCATAATTGTCAGTGTAAGAAGGGAATATACAACAGCGCCCATCCCATTCCAGGCCAACCAATGAAAAACATGTTACATCTTTTTTTCTCTTAAAGGTTACAACCTACATCCTTCCTACTTTTGTTATTTAAGAGTTGCCAGAGTGAGAAAAACATGCACTTTTGTCTTAATTAAAAATATTTATTTTACGAAGTAAGAGCATTTATTGGATTTTAAACATATTACTTTATATAACCGAGGGGTTTACCTCAGTGGTGAGGTCCCCCTCCCCCCCCCCTTGGTCATCTATTTGAATCCTAGGATAAGTGCCCCCTCCCCAATGCAATGTATCTATCGCTAATTCTTAAAAAATATGTTACTCTATATA